TTTTTTCTTTCTTTTTAATTTTTAAAATTTTAATATTTAATCAATATTTTTATATTTTAAAATTATTATGTGTAAGACCAATTTGATATTATTAATTAAAAATATATATTTTATTTTTTTTATTCTTTTTTATTTGTAAGTCCTATATTTAATGAGTTTCGATTCATATACATTTAATGGGTGTGTTTTTTTTAATTTGGGATCGGTTCAAGGTTTTTTTTTTCGAAATCAAGTTAAGGTCAGATGTGAGTTTTGAGTGTTTCGACTCACCTGAGCATATATAAATATATTTTATTATTTATTTTAATTATAAATGTATTATTTTAATAAAATTATTATTTAATACATTAATTCAATAAATTCACATGGTATTCCCATTTAGCTTCTTTTTCTTTTTTTGTTGCTTTTTTTTTTTTAGTTTTTAACTTTTTTATTAGATAAATTTTGAAACAAAAAAGGCAATGGATGTAAGTATGATAAAACAACTCATATTCTATGGATTTCGATTCGATTAATTCAATATGTGTGAATTTTTAAAAAAATTGAGATATGATCGAAGTTTTTCCTTGTTAAAATTAGAGTCAGGTTGGAAGTGGGTTTAGGATGTTTCATCCTGCCCAAGTATAAATATAAAATTATATTTTTAAATATTTATTTATTTATTATTTATATATGTATTATATTAATAAAATTATTGTTAGTCTTTTAGGTGAGATTGTGATACAGGAGAGGGGGTGAATTAGATTTCTCCAAAATCTACTCAAATAATGATTTTAAAACAATTGAATGTGAGGTTAAAAACAATATGCTCCTTAATGAAAATATGATGCTATCAACAACGATTAGTGAGTCTAGAATCAAATATAATAACAATAAATGTAAAGAGTATAGGAATAGAAAATCAAATACAAATATTTATAAAAGTTTGATCATTCTCCTCAAGGCATCTATGTATTCTCTTTTGGTTATCCATACTAAGGCTTCAATCCACTATTCTTGAATTAAAATTACAACTCTATCTTCTTCCTAAGTTTTATTTAGCAACCTAACAATTTCTATTTTTTAGGCTAAGTAGCAACCTCTCAATCTCTCAAATTCAATAAGATATCTCACCTTTTAATTACAAAATCACTTAATAGAAATACAAACTTAAAACACTCTCAATGGCTAAATGTTTGCCTAATGATGTACAAAAAATATGATGAATAAACAACACAATATAGCTTGGATAAAACAAATACAAAATATATGGATTTTAAGCTCTAAGAACTCTTGATTATTTGAGAGAATGAAAATATAGTTTGTTGGTTATTACTCTCTTGATTCATCCATTTTTTTAGTGTGTTGAAATGTTTTATTTATAAAGGAATTATAGAACTAGCTATTGGAGAAGCTTGGGAAATAAAAACACAAGATTTTCTCCTTTAAAACTAGCTATTGGAGCTTGTTTAGGATGAATGGATTGATTGATTTTGATAGAGGATCAATTGGGTGCATTTGGGGAAGGTTCTTAAATTTCACTCAATTTTTGACTGTTATAACTAAGAGGATCGATCAAAAACCTTAGGGGATCGATCGGGTCAAGCTAGGTTTTGGATTCTAGATGAACAGTGCCATTGGTTATCTCCTATTTTGAGCTCTACTCACCAATTTGATCATATCTTAAGTTATCCAACTCCAAATCAAAAACTATTTAAAGATTTAGAAACTAGACTTAAAGGGCTTTCTAACCATATAAAATTAATCACCTAATTCATTGTTTACAAATTATAGTGAATTTTCAAATCTACCTCTTAGGCAGTTTTTAGACAACTACATATTGCCTAGTAAAAATTTAAAATCTTTTCTTAGAAAATTTTGATTTTGTTTGATTTATTAGAAAGTAGACTTAAAGAGATTTTCAACCATATAAAATTTAAATATTAAAACTTTGTGAATTAATACAAAAAAATAAAACAAGTTTAATATTGAAAAACTTTGTTATTGCAAAACAACTATTTTAAGTTAATATATTTCTCAAAACCAATATTATCAAAATTGTATAAAGTCTAAGATGAATAAGTTCACTTTAAAAGAATAATTGGACTTTTATTTAAGCTTAAATAAATCATTTGTAAAGAAAGATTTGTTTGAGAAATATGAAAACAAAGAAATGTTTGTTTGCACTTTAAAAATTTAAGAACATATACTAAATAAATTTTTTTCAAAATCTTAATTAAGCTTATTTAGTTTAATATTTTGTCATTTCAAAATAAGAATCAATTCATGCTAACAATTGTTGGTAGATTGAAGTTTAACAATGTCTATTAACTCCATTTGCTCAAATGCCATGGGCACTTATATGTATTAAATGCATTATAAGGTTAGGGTATGCACCTTTCTAATAGCAATTACTTTTGAGAGAGTTGGTAGTGCTTGAGGTTCTAAATGTGGTATCAAAATCAAAGTTACGAGTTAAAGTCCCAATGGTGTTGTTAAGGGGGAGATTGTTGACAGATTAGAGGTTGGTTGCATTCATCAACTCCATTTGCTCAAATGTTATGGGCTTTTGCGTGTACTGAATATCCCATAAGACTAGGGTATGTGATTTCCTTACAACAATTATTTTTGAGAGAGTTTGTAATGCCTAAGATCCTAAAAGATAATACCAATTATCAGAATCAAACACTTATCACTACATTAAAAGTTATAGCTGATAATGAAAACGTAACTTTTTTTTATTTTTTATAGAGCACAAAGCCTCGTACTAAAATACAGGTTGGTATAAAGGTTTTTACAAAACCTTTTTGAGATACCTCACCTATTAGCCTTAAAAATAGGCCGTCATCAAATTTTGTCACACGAATACCTAACCAAATGGAGGGTATACTATATCCTAAAGATCAATAGACCACTAATCAACAATCTCCTCCAATGGACTTTAGGAGACTTGAAATTACAACACTTGCTTTGATACAAGTTTTAAAAGTCAAGCATTTTTTCCATTAACAACTATAACTAATATAAATTGTAACTAAATGCTTAATCTTTGGTCAAAAAATTTCATACTACGTATCAGATGTGATATAATGTTTCGCAAGCATTACATGAGATATCACCCATTAGGCTTGTAATTGGGCTCACGTACTGGATCCACCATAAATACCTCAATCAGATGATGGCATTATCAAGTCCTAAGAGAAGCACTAGACCCATAATTCACAATTATTATTAAATATTAATTTAATAAAATGCTATATTAAACTAATTAAGGTCTGTCAATCTATTATAATATATTTTCTAATTTGAAATTTTTGTTAAATTGATTAAAAGTGTTTACTCAACACTTAAATGTTTATTTTTATAATTCTTTCTTTTTTTTTTCAACTTTTCAACTTTTTTAGGTTTCATTTTTTTATTTTAATTTAGATAAATTTGTGAAAAAAACTAATAGAGTTATCCATATGACACCTTAATTTATTTTTTTTCTTTCATTTTTTTAAATAGATAAGTTTTGCAATTAGAAAATATGATGGATAGAGATGGCAAAACAATTTGTATCCAATAGGTTTCAAATTGACTCGATTTGATTGCATGACAATTTTTTTCTTTTTTAGGTTTTTTTTACATTTATCATTTTTTTTGTTTATTTTTTTACTAGATGAATTTTGTAAGAAATAATATCAATAAAGGTGTTCATGTAGCACCCCTATTTATTTATGTTCTTTTTTTTTGTTTTTTATTATATAAATTTTATAACAAAATGAACAGATTTATTAGGTTGATAAAACATCGATATCTGATAAGTTTTAATTTGTCTTAATTCATATGGGTATTTTTGTAAAACATTGGTATTTAAGTCAAATCGAGTTTTAATTTAGAAATTAAGAATGGGTCAAAAATAGATTTAGAGTAATCTACACCAAGCCATCTCGTAGTATATATAAAATATATATGTTTTATTGTTTATTTAATTTTTATAGTTATATATATGTATTATATTAATAAAGATATGATTTTATAACTTAACTTAGATGTCCACGTAACATTCCAATGATCTCTCTTTTTTCTTTTCTCTCTTTTTCTTTGATTATTTTTCTTTTTTCGCTTTATTGTTTTCTCTTTTTACCAATTTTTTAATTAATAAAGTTATTATGTAATATCTTAATTTTGGAATTAACATTTAAACTCAATTAAAACTTTCATGCAGTACTCCAATGAGCTTCATTTTTTTTTGTTTGATATCTTTTTTAATTAAATAATTTTGTGAAAAAAAGACAAATGAAAGTGTCCACATGGCACCCCATTTGACCTTTTTTCTTTCATTTTTTATTTTTTTAATTAAATAAATTTTGAAATAAAAGATGTCTATTGATAGAGATGTTAAAATAACTCATATTTGATGAATTTTGATTTATCCTAATTCGATAGGAGACAATTTTTTAAGTCAAAATCGAATTGAAATGAATTGAGTTTTTTTAGAGAAACAAAATCAAAGCAAAAACGTATTTATAATGCTATATTTTAATCCATTTCAAGGAATATAAATATATAATTTATTATATATTTATATTAATAAAGTTATTGTTTGATATCTTAATTTATGATATTATTATTTTAAACTTAATATGATGTTCATGTAACGCCCTTTATGAGGGGTTTTTTTTGTTTTTTGTTTTTGTTTTTTTTATTTTGTCTTTTTTTTCTTTTTTTTTTTTCATGAAATTAAATAAAATTTTGTGAGAAAAATAGGTAATTGAGATACTCATGTGTCACTTTTATACGATTTTATTTTTTTGTTTTTTATCCTTTTTTTTTAATTTTTTAAATTAGATAAATTTTATACCGATTAATAGAGAAAGAAAAACGAAAAATTTTGACAGGTACACGCTAGTCACAATTGTTTTTAGTTAATAAGCAACCAATGCAAAAGAATTTTCCCGTTTCAGTTGTTCCCATTCCATCCTGTTTCAAAACCATTCATCTTAAGAAAGTAGACGTTGGAGTGTAACGGCTACTTTTATATTTTAAAATTTCAAAAAGTTAAAACCCCTTGAAACCTCCATTTTCAATTTCTTTCCTTTTCAATAGCAAGAATACTCAAAAACCTCTTTCCTGTCTGGCTCTATACTTTTCCTTTCTTCTTCATCTTCTTCTTCAACCAAAGAAAACGCCAAAAAAACAAAAAAACAAAAAAATGGCTCCAACCCCATCTTCTTCTTCAAAACAAAGCCAAACCCAGATGCGAACACCCCAATCCAAGCACCGCCTAAACTTCTCATCAACAAGAAACAACCCAACAGGGGAACAACCACAGGGGGAACACCCCGTAGAAGTCATTGGCAGAATAAGAAACTACCCTGGTGACCAAAAAGATAAAATCCCCATCTCATTTCTCCAGATCAATCCTGATAACAAGTCTCTCCGTGTCCGGACTGATGTCGGGTACCGGGATTTTTCCCTGGATGGGATATCTTCATCTGAGGAAGAAGATCTTGATACTTTTTATAAAAAGTTCGTTGAATCAAGAATCAAAGGGGTGAAAATGGGAGCTAAGTGTACTATTATGATGTATGGCCCAACTGGTTCAGGGAAGAGTCATACTATGTTTGGTTGTTCAAAGCAGCCTGGGATAGTTTATAGGTCACTGAAAGACATATTGGGAGATCATGGGGAGGAAGAGAGTGGAAGGGATGGGGAAAGATTGGGATTTGGAAGTTTTGTTCAAGTTACTGTTTTGGAGATTTATAATGAGGAAATTTATGATCTTTTGTCAAGCAATGGAGGAGGTGGCTTTGGAATTGGATGGCCTAAAGGCAGTGGGTCTAAGGTAAGTCTTATGTTAAAGTCTCTTGTTCTTTGATTTCTTGATGGCTGGAGTTTTGTGTTTAATTTATTGTGATTATTGGATATTTAATTCACATTTTGCAGGGCTCGTTTAAGACTGTAAGTTGATTTTTCTGTTTGATATTTGCATTATATTTAATGTTCTTTTTTGTTTGGTTTTTACGGTCCATTGAAAAGAGGGCATATGCTTTTTCGGTTTAAAATTTTCTCAAAAATGACATTCTGTGATTCTGCTAAAGCCAGCAGTAAGATGGTTAATGTTATCAGGCTAGTTTTCTTGCTGAGAATGTTACATGACTATTCTTGGAGAGCTGCTTTTTCTTCTTCCTACCATCACCATTTTATTAAGTTTTGCTGTGTTCTGTATTTGCAGGTGAAACTAGAAGTAATGGGAAAGAAAGCTAAGAATGCTACTTTCATATCTGGAAGTGAAGCTGGAAAGATTTCAAAAGAGATTCAGAAAGTAGAGAAGAGAAGAATTGTCAAAAGCACTCTCTGCAATGACAGAAGTTCTCGAAGTCACTGCATGGTATAATTTTTCTACATCTTTAATTTTAAAATAATTTATCTTAAATCTTGTTGCCAATGGAAAAAAAATTAACATCTGTTTCAATCTGCACAGATAATTCTTGATGTTCCAACGGTTGGAGGAAGGCTGATGCTTGTGGACATGGCTGGTTCTGAAAATATCGATCAAGCAGGTCAAGCTGGATTTGAGGCAAAAATGCAGGTAATCCATCAGGATTCTCTTGCTTCTTTGAGTATATGTTGTTCATTTTGTACTTGATTATTCCCTAACATTCTAATATCCAGGATTTCTTAGGCATTTTGTCCACTAAACATTTCTAATTTACTGTGAATGTACTGAAAATTGCAGACAGCGAAGATAAACCAGGGAAACATAGCACTGAAGAGAGTTGTTGAATCCATAGCAAATGGAGATTCCCATGTGCCCTTCAGAGATAGTAAGTTGACGATGTTGCTCCAGGTGTGTTCCATTCCCCCATTGTTGTCATTCTTTGTGGTTCATAAAGTTCTTAAGTTTTGTCTCATGGGCAGCATGCACTCATTTTTTGTTTCCCCAGGATTCTTTTGAGGATGATCAGTCAAAGATTTTAATGATTCTTTGTGCAAGTCCAGATCCCAGGGAGATACACAAGACAATTTGCACCTTTGAATATGGAGCAAAAGCAAAATGTATTGTCCGTGGTCCTCATACACCAATCAAGGACAAAAATGAAGATTCTTCATCTGCAGTTATTTTAGGATCCAGGCTAGCAGCAATGGACCAGTTTATAAATAAACTACAGATGGAGAACAAGCTCAGAGAAAAAGAGCGAAATGAGGCACATAAAGAGCTCTTGAAGAAAGAAGAAGAAGTCGCTGCATTACGAGCACTTCTGGAAGGGAAGGGTTCTGGGGCAACTGAAGATGAAATCAACTCAAAGGTAAATGAGTGCACACAGATGTTAAAACTTGAATTGGAGAAGAAGCTAAACGAATGCAGGCGAATGGCTGAGGAATTTGTTGAAATGGAAAGGAGAAGAATGGAAGAAAGAATTCTGCAACAGCAAGAAGAAGTTGAGATGCTAAGAAGGAGGCTGCAGGAAATTGAGTTTGAGCTATGCCATTCAAGGAATGGAAATGATGAGGAGAATGAGGCAAAGGAGTTGGATGGAAGCAGCTTTGCTAAAAGGCTAATTGGGATTTATGGTGATGAGGTCCCAGGGATGGTAATGTCAATGGACCTCGACATGGGTGATCCTGAACCATTTATTCGTGATGTGAAACAGATGGATCAATCTGAAATCAATTTGAACCATCCTCAGACTGAAAATCATGATGGTTTTGCACCACAGTTTGGTACAAAAATAGGCCTGAGCACTGTATATGAGGAAGAAGAAATAGAAGAAGAGGAGGAACAAAAAGAGAATGTGGAAGATGAAGTAGAGAAGGAGATAATAGAGGAAAAAAGGGTGTGCTCAAGTGGGACAGATAGGTCTACTCTTGGAGAAGATTTTAATACACTTGTCTTGGAATCGTCTCCCCTGAAATTTGAATTGACACCTAAACGGCTGGCTTCTGATACAGACTCTTCCAGACGATTAAGAATCCAAAACATCTTTACCCTCTGTGGGAACCAAAGAGAGCTTTCTCAACAAATCAGAACTCCAACACCTGTCACACCAATACCTGAAACCATTGATCCTCATTGGTCCCCAGTTATGATTGCTTCAGATGATTCTGTTGTGAAAAGTTTGAACAAGGAAAACTCACCAGTTCAAAATGGGGGACAAAGTCCTGCAGGTTTAATGGCTGCATCCTTAAAGGAGAACCAAAACCCCTCTAATGACTGCACTGATGGCCAGATTGAAGTCTATGTGAAATGGGAAGCATCCAAGGAAAATCCTGGAAAGTTTATCACAACATTAAAGGTTGTAAAGGATGCAACACTTTCTGATCTCCGGAAGTTGATTGAAATCTATCTTGCTGCAGATAAGCAAGCTTTCACTTTTCTAGTGCTTGGGGTATGCTATTTTTAATACTCAATTCTTAATACTGTCTTTGAACTTCAAATGTACTTGTACACATACTTTGGCATGTGCAGGATCCAACTGGGGCACCCGTGCAGAAAGAGAATGAAGCCACTATCAAGGCTTGCAAACTGCCAATATGCAACAATGGTTATCTGGCTTGCTTACGGCCAGCAAAGGGTCTGCAGGTAACAAATCATCTCCCCTTGAGTCCACTGCCATTGACTCCCCTGGAAAACAAGCTTCCACTCAACAAAAGCACTCGCTTCTCGCACCAAGGTGATGATTTATCATCTAAGCTATCACCTCACCTCAGTTCCAGTCCCTTTCTCACTGTTCGAAGACCCTAGGATCGGTATTTGCTTGTTTTTGTTCAGTTGAAAAAGAAAATGTTGAATGAAGTGCAGCACGAGTATATATTCATATGTACTCTTCCTGGTACCTTTCATTATGTTGATATTTGAACCTTTTGTAACACTATGTATATCATGAAGTGTGTCGTCCGGTTATCCATTACCTTTCTCCCCTCAATTTCCATTGTCTTTTTCTTTTAGCTTCCTGAATATTCATCCATTGGAATTATTGAACTTGATCTCTCTCCTCTCTTTTTATTTGTTTATTTAATATTGGATCTGAGGCAATATCCAATTATATATTGTTTCCCATGGTTGCTGCTTAAACAATTCAACTGGATAGTTTTTTTTTTTTTTTTAATGTTTTTGGTTATCCTCGTTTTAATTTAACAAAGTAATAATAGAAAAATATAGTAATAAAGATTTTTGCTTTTGCTGAATTATTACTTAAATAAATATTAAAAACAAACATACAAGTCAAATAAAAATCAAGTTTTTTAAGAATTCTAATTTACAATGTCTCCTTTGTAAATAAATATTATAATTCGTGCATTCGTATCATTTATTTTGTACTAACACATGTAAAATATGAACATTATTATGTTATAATTCATGTCGACACACTAAATATTGAACAGTTTTTCTGATTTTTTTTTAATTTAAACATGTCTTTTTCATGATTACTAATATAGCAATTAATCAATAGCTATTGAGTCAAAAGCTAAAATATTAATATCATAATTATTCGATCTAAAAATTTTAAACACCAAGAAGGTACATAGGCTGACATTGAATATAGACTCCTAGAAACAATGGATCAACCATATAAAGATACACTTTTGAATTTTTTTCAAAATTATAATTCAACATTCATTTCCTTTCCTTTCTCTCGTATGTTTCTCCCTTGGGTCAAATATCTCAGCAAATCAATAGGATCCAAGTGACTTCCACATAATCTTACAGGAGAAATTCTGAAAACAGAATCCTCCCTTCCTTTCTGGGATTTCTTTCTAGGATTCTGTCTGTGTTAGTGTAAGTCGTGAGTTCAACATGACAGTTTCCAAACCATGTTTGCAGTCAAATACATCTGAAGAAGAGGTATTTTTCCTTCAAATTGTTTGCAAACTACATGTTTCTGGTCAGTTTGCATGAGAATCAATTTTCTTAGAGGATTTCTTGGATGGCTTTGACAAGTTTATTTAAACGGTGGCATTGGATAATATAACCATATTTCATACCAACCACAAGAGCCGGAACTCCTAGAATTTACGTACAAAGCACTCGATTCCATAAAAAAAAAAAAAAATTGTCTAAATTGCAAAATGAATATCTTTTTGTCTTTGCTGACATTTCCTATAGCAGAAGGTGATCAAAACAACATCAGTAAGGTAAAGAAATCTGAAACGGTTAGTCTCACCCAACATACACCAGAAATTGACTCTCCAAATGGTTTCCACTCCTTAGGATGTGCTTTCAATGCCCCTGGAAACACCAAGCAAAGATATATTAAAACTTCAAGTTAAGTTTATGCATACTGTCCTAGATTTGAAGAAAACAGTTGAGAACATGGTGTATTTCCCTGTGAAAAAATGGGATTTCACACATTCAGGAATCCGATTGGAGAATTTCAGGATCTTGGCTTTCTATGACATTAAGGAAGATGCAATCCTGAAGATGGTGCCTCCTGAATATCAGATATTGAAAGACATGCCATGGAAAAACCATTACTGTTTATGTGAACCAATTTGATACCATTGCTAATGTAAAAACCAAGATTTCACAAAAGATACATATCCCCTATACTTGTATGTCTCTTAATTATTGTGGGAAACCTCTTAAGGATCGTGAGACCCTTGCTTTTTACAATATTAAAAAAAAGGGTGTATTTCACTCAAATTTTACAATTATCCAATCACAATAAAAAATTTATATAAACGTCTATCACTTATATTAATGAGTTTCATATAAAATTTTGATAAATTCCACATAATTATAATTTTTTATTGCTAAATTATACTATAATGATGGTGATATGCTCCCTCAAAGAGAATCTACTATCTTTACAAATGGATTTTAACTTTTTAGCAGCTTGGAGCTATTTGTTAAGGAGATATGTTCTTTTTTATGTAATGTTTTTCCCTTTCTGATGGACTTACTAAGTTATTATCAAGTAAACCACAATGATTTGATACAAATAATTTCCAATAAAGTTTAGCATTTATAGTTGTGTGGTATTCTTACATATATATATATATATATATCTTAAGAAACTATTCAATATATTTTTCTGGAAATTTTGGATTAAGAGATTAATACATATCATATTTTTTTAATTAGTTTTTTAAAATTTTTTAATATATGAGTAGTTGTCAACCTATTGATTTCGTTTGTGAAAAAAAAATTCACTATTAATGTATTAGATAATTTTTCACATTTTTGTAAAATATTTAATAAAGTATATAAACTTTAAACTTTACCCTAAGAAGCCTCCATTTATTTAATTTATTTATAGCCTAAGACATTATGTAAAAGAAAATAGAATTAGGAATTTCTTAACAAGTTGAAAATTGAATTTTGATTGGATCCATTATCTATACGTAAATTAATAACTAATTAAATATTTCTTTTTTTTTTTAGAGAAATTAAATATTTCTTTTATATATTAGAGGACAATTTAAAAACATAACTAATACTTTTCCTTTTTATTTTTCTTTTTTTTAAGGATTAATGTCATATTTAATTCTTTGTTAAATTTTTAAATACTATATCTTTAGTTTAAAATGTGTAATATGATATTATATTTCATCTATCAGTGTTTAAAAAAAAATTTTATTTATAACTTTAAAAGACATAATTAAAATGTGTTAAGTCTGGATATCACATTTATAAACAAAATCATAATATAAATATCATATTATATAAATTTTTTTTCATATCATATTATACATTTTTAAAGTAAAGATTTCACATAAAAATTTTAACAAAATATAAAGACCAAATTTGACATTTTTTAATATGGGTCCAAATCCAATAAACATTGGGCATTAGCTTGTTGCTATTGAACATGGAATTTTCTAAATAAAAAATTGATCCATTTCACCTTTTTTTTTTCTAAAAAAAATCAAGATATTTCACAAATTATTTTTAGTTTTTATCTCTTTAAAATAAATAAATAAATAAATAAAAACTCCTTAACTCTTTTCCTTAGAGCACAAGGAGACTTCCTCTATTCTTTGACTTATTATACTGGCGGCACTTTACAGGCAGTCTCTCTCTCACGAATCATCTGTCTTTCTCTTTTTAATTTTACTTAATTCTGTTAATTTTTTGTTTCTTTTTCAATCTGAATCCATAGGCTGGGTTTTGATCGGTGAATCTCATGGAACCATCACGAGCTCAAAGACCCCGCTTTGACTCCACAGAAGAGGAGGTTTTTTTTATTCCTTCTTTGAAAAGAAACATGATCTTTTTTCTTTTTCTTTTTTTATTCTTGTAGACAAGAATTGAATGGAAAACCCCAATTTAAAATTTTCATTTCTGGGTATGTTTGGTTCAATTTGAGTTAATTTCTTGAATTAATCTTGTTCTGGAAACTTTTTTCTGGGTTTTTATTTGTTTGGAATAGTCTGGTGCTGGCTGTGTGTTGTGAATTTGCTGATATGGAAATACTTGTATACTAAAGTATTGATCTTTTGAGTATTGTAGATGAGATGATGCTATCTTTGAGTGTTTTGTATGAGACGATACCATGGTTTATGCTAAGGTCCCTTTGGCTGATTGGTATTGTGATTGATTGTATTTTTGTCATTCAGTCATTCGTATTGCAGAAAGATAATGACGAATATGAAACTGGGAAGGAGAGAATGAGAGAAAAAATAGTTTTGAAAACCTGGAAAGGAATAATTAAAGGGATGTTCAAGTGTTGCTACTTGCTTTCTTTTTGGTTCCCTAGAGTATACTTTTGATATTTCTAATGGAAAAATGGTGGTTCTGGTGTTTTTTTTTTGCCGGGGAGGGGGAGAGGGGTGGCTATTTTGTTGTTCTCCTATGATATTTCCTTGAAAAACTTGTAGATTCTTACTATTTGGTTATATAATCTTGTCTATACACTGGATGCGTGGAAGATGAAACTATATTTGTTCTTGAATGCTGTTTCCATAGAGGTATATTATTAACTGCACCTTAAGTTCCAATCTCTCCAATGATTTCATTTTTGGAAAAGGTAGCAGGAAAAAGTTTCTGCTCTGTTCACAGAAAGATACTCAACGTTTTGAGTTTATCCAGCACTATATGCTTTAGTGTTGCTTATTCTGAGTTGTTTTTGTTTGCAGATACCTGTATACTTGAAGCTCAAGAAGACAGTGGCGTGGAAAGTTAAACCTACTGAAACTGTAAAAAATTTTAAAGCATTATTGTATGAGAAGGGAATCATTTCTGAGAATATTCAGGATCTTTTCTTCGCTGGTCTACTGCTCAAGGATGATCAAAGGCTGGTTGATTGTGGCATTCAGAGGAATTCCACACTCCATCTAGTTCTCCGGAATTTTGATGGATTGAAGTTACTCATCAAAATACCATCAGAACAGAGGACCATGGTGGTGGAAGCAAGGGCTCATGATACTGTCCTCAGTATCAAGTCATTGATCGAGGTGACAGAGGGGATTGAATCAAATCGGTTCTCACTTGTCTATGAAGGAAAACTACTTGAAGAGGATAGGACTCTGAGCTCTCTCAATGTGAAGAATGAGTCAACCATTTTTCTTGTTTTCTGCCAAAAGGAAGTGCTGTCAGTTCATGTGAAAGCACTAACTGGAGAAGTTGTGAAACTGAAAGTTAAGGTTACATTTACTGTGGCTGATGTCAAAGCCATAGCTGGGAGCATGTTGGGTGTCTCAATAGGCAGTTTGTTCTATTCAGGACAGCAGCTTGAGGATTCCAAAATCCTGGCTTGTTATGACATCAAAGAGGAATCTATGCTAGAGGTGTTGCATCCGCTATTTCAGATATTTGTGAAAACTTGGAGTGGGAGAACCTTAACTCTCGACGTGCAGCAGAGTACAACTGTCCAAGTCGTGAAGGACAAGATTTTTCAGAAGCTAAAGATTCCTGTTCAACTTCAGAGTATCATATTTGCTGGCAAACGACTTGAAGAAGGACGTGATCTGGCCAGTTATGGCATCCAGAAGCACTGCACTCTTTGTATGGTTTTTGCACCCTCATCAACCATCATGCATATGAAAGTGAGCAAAATTGGTAGCTATGTACCTCCCTTCACCACTGTTCGCAGTGTGAAGGAAATGATTCGACAGAAAAAAGGATTTCCAGTGAAGGAAGTACTATTTCGAGAGACGGCCTTGCATGATGACTTTGATTTGGAACATTATGGGATAGACAAGGATGACACATTGACTGTTGTCTTTTAAACGCTGTGAATGCAAATGTGACTCTAGGTATTCAGACTGGTGTTTGAATGTGAAACTTCTAGATTCGCTTGTTTCTGCTTTTATTTCTCTGAATGGTATTTGTTTTTGGTTTTTTGATCTAGAATAAAAACAGTTAGAAAGTTTTGCTTGAATGTTATAAATATGTATTTTTTTCTGTGCACAGTTAGTGCCTAAAAATTTGAATAGCTGAAATCAACATAAAATAACCTTTTAATTGAAGCAGAAACTGATCACTTCCTGAAATCTCAGTTGTCTTTGACATGTTTAAAAGGACTTTGAAGTTTTGCATTGTCTTATCGTATGACATCTTTCTACTGAAGATTAGAATCATGTTCCAAGCTGTAATATTTCAACATTACTTTTATAAGAACTCAAAACTGTGGACAATTGAGCAAGATGGAATGCCGGAATGGCCAGAATATCCTAAATGCTGTTTGCCATGAAGTGGTTTTGAATGAGACTGACATTAAACACCATGTCATCTGGATTAAGTGGTAGATGACGTGGTTTTCGTGTAGTTGAGAAGTGCTGCTTAGAAGTCTTAAAGTTATGCAGAAAGGATCCACAATGAGAATGGCGGCATAGGCTTTTCATTGGTATGTTTCAAAGTTCATTAGTCTGTTCCTGTGTTCTCTTGGCTTTTAAAAAGAGCATGAGACATGGTCTGCAAGAGCTTATATGAGGCCACGAAAACCATTCAGCTAAAGCTACAAGGAAAAAAAAAAGATGGAGAGAACAATAATAAGAAGCTCCATGGAAATTACAATTTGGTGCAATGGTAATACCTGAAACCTATAATTCACAAATTACTCTATTCCTCTTAAGCTTCCATCTCCTCAAGATTCAAGCTCCATGATATCAGGCAAAGAACTAGAACCTTTTGATCTTGATGTTGATGAAGATTCATCTGATCCGCCATGTGATCCCTTTGATTTCTTTCGCCGAGATTTTTTTGGGATATCAGCTAACTCTTGTGAAGATGATTCAATGCCACGACTTGTATTCTGGTGCCGCCTTCCATGGCAAGATGAATCTCTACCAGGGGATTCCATCGAAAGGTTTGATGGTCGATGACGCCTAGATTGCTTCTCGGCGCCTTTTGGAGAACCTATAGGTGAGCCATTGTCTATTGATGGTTTGCGCCTCCACTTCTTTTGCTTCTCATTGCCAAGAGGTGGCAATGAGTAATGATTTCCTGCACCAAAATGAAATTTATATCTATGCAGGGAAAGCAGCTTAACAGTATTTCATATACGGGATCTAACAATAAACCCCTCTACTTTGTTGCTGATGAAATCGAATTCCTCGACTAAGCTGAAAGGTATATATGGAAAGAACAAAATCTGCTATTTCCAGAGTTCAATTATTTGTCTTTAAATTGAATGATTATTCAGAGCATGATTACTGAAAACCAGAAAAGGAACAAACCTGCGGCTGAAGCCTTCACTGGTAGATTACTATTTAGAGGAGTTGATGAGAGCTCTGGAGCAGAACTTAACTCACTCATCTGCATGGATTTGAAAAACCAGGTAATTTTCATATTTTCTCAGTTAACATATGCTTGATCATTATGCTTTCGTTTCGAGCACGAATTTAGAAAGCTTAAGAATAAGGTTGTCTCAATTCTACACCAAAATCTCAAATTCAATTGTGCGAGTGAATGTCTCAAACGAGCCATTAACATGGTAATGGAAATAAAAAGGAAAACAAAAAAATTGACATCATACCCAGCTCGGCTTATTGGCTGAAGGACCATCCATACCAATATGAGCAACATGTTTTACATCTGTAGGAAGCCCTATTTGCATTTCTGGTTCTTTTTCGTCTGCAAAATTGTCAATATGTTCGTCCTCAACATTGTTTACGTGAGAATAATATTTGAAAATTTGCAGGTAAACCAAAGTCTCATTTTGATTATGGAGAATTTTGGGTACTTACCAAACATATGGGAGATGTATTTTAAACCTCTTATAAGACTGTTCATTTTTGCTGTCAATAATGGTGGATCCTTTGGCAATGTAAATATGAAATCTTCCTCCCCAGGGTTGAAGGTGTTTGTTTTATAAGAGGTGAAGTAAAAATAAAGCAAGAATATAAACCACAATCTGTTTTGATACATTTGCAATGAAAAACAAAGGTCATGTTAGAATTAGTATAAGAAAGTTATGATAGTTGGTCACAAAGGAAGTTACATACAAGAAAAACAGCATCACATAAATGAACTTTACTTTCTCTTCAGAAATCTTGAATTTCTATCGTGCAGAACAAAATTTAAAAAAGAAGAAGGAGAAGGGGAAGGGGAGGTTGAACTGCTTCAATTCTTGATTGTTGTTACTTTTGGAATCAAGAAAAGAGAGAGGGAAGGAAAATCTCTAAGTAAGTGAAAAGGAGAACTTTTGTTTTGTGGGGTAAATGAAGAAGCAGAAGCTGACCGAATTTTCAGATGGAAAATCCAGGTTAAGCTTAAATGTTCCTCCCAACGGGGCATTCCTATATTTGGGTTTTTAATTCTTTTTATAATGGTCTTTTAATGAATGCAAGGGAAAAGCTGTTAAAGGAAATCAATGGCACTACTTTCCCTTCCCTTGTCCTCCTTTTGTTTTTAAATATTTGGAACATTGCTCTTTTGTTTAATTTTATATATATCACATATTTAATCGATACGAGTTAATAAAAATTTTCTTTCATTTAAACAAATTCAATTTTTGCAAAAGCACTTCAAAATTAAAATCCTAATAAACAATCCTCTCATATATTCGTATAGTGTTCAATTAAATGACTAATCATATATCAGATATTTTATTTTATTCAAGAAAATTCTTTTAGGACCTTTTTCAAAAAAGAATTTAGCAAGTTCAAATTTTATAAAATGAATAAAAAGGCTTATATATAATAAGAAATGTTGTAAATATTCAAGCTAGTGTTAAGTAGTAAGCAAAACCCTTCAACAGATTCTTCGATAAACAAAAATAACAAAGTACTACTTCATTGAAACAGATTGAAACAAGGATAATTGCCAGTATGAGCTTAAAGTATTAATTATTTAAATAAAATGCAGGTTTAGAAGCAGAGAGCAAGGCCAAGAAGTTCCAAGTATGAGTAAACAAAGGCCATTTCTCCACTCCTAGTCCTCAGTATACTTCTTTACTCATCATGCTTTCATATCATCCAAACCAAAACCAGCCTGCATCAACAGAATATATTTGTTTAATCAAGATTCACCAGGCAAAATTGTATTTGCAATAAAAAATATAATGTTTAAGATGTGAAAAATAACCATGCTAAAGACAAGTTAATGAAAATTGAAGAAAACTTATTCCTTAGAGCCAAATCCCATCATGAACTTTCATTCTCTCATAGCCCATTCATTATCTATAGACTTCCATCCTTTCAAGGATGTCGTCAATGTTCTCGTATTTGATTTTTTGGGCTCTTTTATTCTTTTCTTTTTATTATTGACCTTGGACACAAGTAGTTTATACTCTATGAACAGAGCACAGATTAATGCTAACCACATTGAGTAAAAACTATAAGATATGATAATTTGTCATTATTTGCTACTAAACATGAAGTTTCTCCCTTCAACCTTTCCATTGTTTCGAGTGCCCTAATCCACACTATATGATATCATTCTCAAGATTGAAGTACCGTTAATCCAAAAAACAAACATGCACAGTATGGTGGCAAAGTAAATATTCATCTCTTAGGAAGCTTCTTACCAGAAACTTGTGATTCTCCTCAAGAAATGGAGGGAAAGCTGAACAAAATTTCTCCATGTCAGCATTAACATCTCCCGAGCCAGCTATCACTTCCATGAACTTCTTCCTATCTGGAGCCAGCTTCATAGCCACCTGTAATTCAACACTTCACTAAGTTAAACAATCTTGAGAAGTAGCATAAGCATACCACCAGTTTCATTCATACAAAGAAAATAGATGTAAATTGAGTCAACTAATTTATGATATAAAATTAGTTTCTTAGAATAAAAGAGAGAACTAAAATTTCTATATTTGGTGTTTAAATTAAAAATCCTCAGTTCCATTTTTTCTAGGAAGAGTGAAATTTTCACCACACAACTCCCTCGTTATCAGCATATGGAAAAATTAGAAATAAACGTTCTCAATCTTTGGGCTTCACATTCTGGCATAAGAAATATGCATCAAGGACAACAGATTAACTGATTAATGAATGTTGGTATAAATTAAGGAAATCTTTCACATATGTTATTGTTCAAAACATCAAAGCCTAACATCTCAAATTGATGGGTTATATTATCAGGAAAGAGATACAGCAACAAAAAAAATAAAAAACTTAATCAAGTGGGAATAAAAATATTTACTGTGAAACTTGAACTAGCAATCCAGCCATGAAATTTTTTCAGAGTCTTGCCATAGGAGTCCGTACAAGCTTCTGTCATTGTCCAATCTGGATGCGCAAGTAAGTTGCGGAACAATTCTACAAGGAAATCCATTGCTCTGAAAATCATCAAAATTATAAATTACAAATTGTGAAATAGCAGCAATGAATCATATGTGAGAGAGAGAGAGAGAGAGATTTTAGTAATTGCCTATTGGCAATATTATGTACCTTGTCAACCAAAGAAGACCATTGGTACAACTAGATGATCCTTTTGCTGTTTCACATTCAACCTCTTCTTTCACCATATTGTACAAATAATTGTATTTAGTGGAATCAGATTGGTATTTTTTTTCCAACCTCTGAAAACAGAAGCAGTAGAACACAGTAATTTAAGAGTTGAAAAGTAGCATTTTTTAAAAGAATAATATTGGATGTCGTTAAACAGATGTGCATGGTGTTAAAATGCCTTCAAACTTAAGAACAGAACATGGAAAATAGCTCATGATGAGTGATGACCATCTCAAAAGTTCATACACAGTTGTTGCAGGAAATTAACTTTAAGGCATGTACTAGGACAAGGAAAAAATAAGTAAACATCATCATTAGCATACTTGAAAAATTATTCAAGAAAAAACATCTTACCGATATGTTACCACCAATATCAGTCTTTACAAGGGTCATAGCAGTTCCAAACTTATCTGCAAAAGTAACAAGAAGGAGATTTTAGTTTTTCCCTGTAAATCAAGTATCAACATTGTATCCATCAAGAAAGAAAAGCCAGTAATGCCCTGCATAATGGCAGGCCTTCAGGCATCCAAATAATGGCTGCCTTTCACTGTCCATCACACACGCACACAGATTGATCACATCTACTTTGAAATGCAATCTTACCAAAATATTTCCGGCAAATTATCAGGCATTTGTCCGTTACCACATGGTTGTCCAAATTCAATAACAAATTAACAATAAACAAGCTCTGAATTTTATCATCAAAGAGCATTTCGATATGTAATCGAGGATAGAACCATCATAATTTCAATCCCACAATCTTTTCAATAATCTTATAAATGAACTTGCAGAAAGATTTCCATGAAGATTCCACTTAAATAGATACTAAAATTGAACTAATCTAACAAGCTTACCATTAAAAAAAAGTAACCCAAATCAGAAAATCTCTACCATGACCAAAGGTATAATAAGAACAAACCTATAACTGGCATAATCAACTTGCAGACTTCCAGGAAAGGCTTGGTAAGCATTTCCCCTTCTGGAGATTTGATATGTTGCATTCCTTCCAATGATGGAGTAAACACTGTTCCTTCCATTGCAGACAAATCTTTCGCTTCTTTTTTTTCACTGCAACAATCAAATTAAAAACCCAAGATTTAAATCATCCCCCTAAATTCAACTCATTTAAGATCCAACAAAAATAAGACACTTTTATATCTCAAATCACTAAAGTTTAACCTTTTCATTCAAAAAATCAAAAACCCAATTTGACAATCATATAAATAATACAAGTGATCGTATAAAAAATTGTGAATTTTGATCAGATCCATTAAAAAATATATAAAAAAAGGGAGAGATCAATACGTGTATCTTTATTGCTCTTAAAACTGAAAAATAAGAGAGAAAATAGGAGAATTCTAAGGAATTAAAGAAGAAATAAAAGATTTAAAATGTGGGTTGAGATTCTGATTCGATTAAGAGAAAAAAAGAGGAACCTGAAGAATTTTTTTCTTTTGTTGAGAATGGGATTCTGTTTAGATATTAAAGACAAGAAATGATTTTAAAAGCTGAATTGGTTCCATGTCTCACGTCGAGCGCTAGCTGTACATCTGCCGGTTACAGCGTGTGCACGTGGCTTGATCTTATTGGATATGGTATAATCATTTGGTTGGGTCGGGTCCCATGGGCCCTATGGTAAGGTTCGACTGGACTATGGATAAGTATATGGGTCGGGTCATGGCTGCAAGTAAACTGCAGTCTATGGATGTTATGGGCCAGATTTAGATGGGCTATCGTTGGGCCTCAGTTGGATCTAAGTCCAACCCTTGGAAAACTAGTCTTGACCAAGTTCAAACTCCCAAGTTCATCCATAAAATTAAAGATTTAAATATTATTATTTTATACACCGTTAGTGGAATTTTAAAATTTTGTAATGAAGTTAAATATTAATTTTTATTTATTATATTAATTTATTAAAATTTTTAAATATATTCTAACGGGATATGCTGCAACTCTTTAATGAGCTAGTAGAACTCTTGGAATAATTAGATTTTTTAAAAACATTAAACCTTTTTTATTATGAAAATTATAAAAAAAATATTTTTATTTAAATATTTTTTAGTATATCTTAGAAAATGAAATTTAAAAAAAATATTAAGAATTAAATAGAGGAGTCATTTATTATCGGCTTCTTGTTCTCATACAGTAAACAAATTCTGGACATTGATGCCCAAATGTTACCAGGCTAAATGGCCCAGCTTGCTTTTTTTTTTTTTTTTTTCTTGCAAGATTTTCAAAAGTTTTAATGCTTTTTATATACTTTTTTTATAGTACAATTTACAAAAATCAAAGAAGCTCCCCTTTGCTTTATTTTGTCTTGCAGCACCCATTTATTTATTTATTTGTTAACTGAAGTTACCAATATTTTAAATTTAGTTATTAAAACTAAAAATTCAATAATTTATTAATAAATCATACGATTGACATATGTTTAATGTAGTCACGGTAACGAAAGTGTAAAACATTGGCTAGCCATTGAGAAGGAAAATGAAGTTAAAATTATACTTTTTCAAGGTGAACAGAACAAAATTTTCAGGCAAGAAAAAAGGTTGTCTCACAAGACCTTGGCTGGGTATTTGATTGCATTCTTAACAAGTTTTTTGGTATCAGCATCACCAAGATCAATGCCACATATATCAGACAACCTAATGAGGTATAACAGCACATCAGAAAGTTCTTCTCCGAGATGCTCTTTATCGGATTCTTCCCAATTTGGCAAGCCTTTGTCCACCTCTCCTCTCCACTGGAAAATTTCTGATAGCTCTCCTACTTCTCCAACCTGCACATCCATAATTAAAGAAAAGAAAAGGTAGAAGCTTAAGACATCTGCAATTTTGTTATCATTTTCAGTATATATTTCAACATGGAAAAGGCAATAGCATCTTCATTTCAACATGTGCCTTGAGTTGTTTCTAGGTAATGGACAAGATAAAAACAACTGTCACAATTGTTCTTGTATTCCAAGTTCAGGTAATGACCTAATGCATGACTCCCTAGATTGGGAAGAGAGGAGGTGCCTTTGTTGAGGATAAATGTTGAATTTATCAATAGTATTCAGTAGCTGAACTAGTATTTATAAAAGCATAGTGGTTAAGATGACTAGAGACAAGTATGCTGCCGATACATTTTGGGCTAGGGAAATGGAACAAATATAGCAGAAAGGAAGATTTTCAGAGTAAATAAAAAACGACTTTTGTTTGTAGTTATTATCATTTAACCATGGTCCCAGGGAATTCAAAGAGTCAATCATTAAAGCTTTAAGCACAGACAGACATGGGTAAACATACATGTATGAAACAGGGTTGACTTGACATTGTTTTTAGATGGAGTCTAGTACATGAAATCGGAGTGATAATGATGATGATTACCATGGCAAGAAGTAGATTCCTGGGACTGTGGTACTTTTCCCAGTCTCTAGCCCTGGCAAATTCCTCAAGCTTCTTAGAGAGATCCTTCAGACTAATGTCGACCACCCTCTCTTCTGCATTCTCTTTCTCTTCTCTCATGCTTGGCTTCACTTCTTTTTGCTTCACATGCTTGAGTAGAGGGAGCTTTATAGCATTTAATGGGTGGTTCCGAACAATGTTTTCTTTAAGTTCTTGTGCATGTCATTTGCAATTTAAATTGAAAGGGAAAGAGCTGGAAGTGAAGGAAAATGCCTCATTCATGGTTTATACGTGAGATTCCTTGCAGCCCCACTTTACAAAATGGCCAACTTCACACCACCTGAAATTAGCAAAGAATAATATTTCCTTTTAATTATCTTCTAGAATCCAAACCAAAGGCAGATTGAGATTTGGCGACCAAACTTAACTCAAGGGTTTAACATCTATAGTCTGTAAATAACCCATCAGTCCAGTCATAAAACGCAGACCTGGGCACGGTGAGAGGGCTCCCACCAAGCATCCAAATCAAACCTTAGCCTGATTGTTTCAATAGGAAGTATATCTTCATTGCATGAGGCTATTAGATGTACATTCATTGATCCAACTACAGGAGTAAAGTTGGGTGAATGATAGAAATATTTGGAAAAAATGAGTCTTATCCAAAAAGAGTGGGAACTGGTAAAGGAAAATTGTGTTGTGGGACATAAGTAACTAGGACATGTTTTATACCCAGGCCTGAAGGCAAATTTTGTCTGCCACTAAATACCTTGCCATATAAACCAGGCCTCATTCGTGCATTGGCATTCTTGTCATAATGCACTTGGCAGCAGAATGATTATCCAATAGCACTTGCAGCATTTTAATGGTGCACATTGCTGATTATCCCTGGTTCTACCGATGTCAAATGAATGAAATGTTAGGATGATATAAAACGTGTTTTACAAGCAAAGAAAAATGCTTCTTTTCTTATAGATGCTTTCCCATTGCAACTGAAAAGGGCTGCTCCATCATCCATACATGCCCCTTCACCAATTTCCTGGATGCAATCAATTGCAAAGTTTTCAAAAGTTAGAGACTTGGTGGCTCTTTTCTATATGAGATAATGCAAAGTATAGTTGGGATATATTTCCCAAGGACCCTGCTTCCACATAATCCTATAACATCGAAAGGTTCCTAAGAAAATGTTTGAAAATTCTCAAGGCTTTCCTTTTTCTCACATTCTCATCTGGTCATTGTGTTTAAAACATTTAAAAGAAGATAAGATGCTATTCTGATGCAACCATGAAAATGTATTACACGAACCCTTAAGAAAATGACTTCAGGTCTACCATTAGAGAACATTTACTTTTACATTGGAAGCAACTAAGCGAGTCACAAGCATGTCAAAAAACAAAAGCTTCATAAGATGAGAAACTGGAGTTTAGTTCAGTTAATTTATGTAGCTACCCATAAAAAGTGGCATCTAACAAGTTTGAGATTTGAATTACATCACTTACAATTTCTTCTCTTATCCTCAGTTCGTATCCTTCTATATACCAAAAAAATTTTCTATAAGATGAAACCGACTCATGATTATGTGGTAAAATGCCTGAATTATTTACATCAAACTAATCGATTTGGGAATCTTATGCTGAATATGATTTAATCTTCTTCCTGTCATGTTAGTTTTGAGTTTTGACATCCCCTTTGGTGATCTTGGCATCTGAAGTTGAATCCATTTATTGCAACTTGTTAATGTTTACTTGTTTCGATCAATCAGAGATTCTGCCAATTAGATGGCCTGGAATTTTACATATTCTTTGATTACCTTGTCATAATAATCAAACCATTTCGTGATGAAAAGCTGTCACTCCACAGCTTAGGTTAAAAACTTTCGGCAAGATTCCAAGTTCTTCAATTAGAGTATAAAAAATAGACAGGGTCAACTGTAAGTCCATTTTTTTTTATAAGATTGTATGTTTTTCAGTTATTCCAATCCCATAATCTAATTCCATTAGTGGTTAAAGAAAACTAAACCATACAAAATTTAAGAAGGGATCTTCTATTATTTGCAGTTATTAAGTAGTCTTATCTAGCAAGTAAAGTCTTTGATCTGAATTCTTTAGCTCAATTGATTAATATAATCACTATGATATTTAGCAAATTTAGAGTTCAAATCTCGATATTTGTACGGCTATATCCCTTTCTCATATCTTCTGCGACTTCCTTTGTATAAAAAAATTGGAATAAAATGGGGATGGCTAACTATCTTCTGTTAGTACGGGTTCATGGAAAGGATATTCCAGTTACTGATTTTCAAAACAATTGTGCTCGTGAATATTGCACATAACCCTGATCACCCATAAATTGATTTATATATTGTGAGTGGGGAAAATATACAAAGCAAAATGAAAATAAACAAATTAAAAGAAGAAAAATACTATGAACCTTACAGCTGGTTATATTCTTATTGATAGCAATAAACAAAACCTGATTTCAAACTGAAAGCATAATCTTAAATTACAAAATTCCCTTGTGTTTGCTTAGACTTGGTAGGTAGTTCCTTGTCATAAAAGAAAGTTTCACTGGGAAATAAACTTCGTAAAGATTTTGGCCAATGCTAGATTTATATATAAAACCCTCCATTTTCTGAAGAACTGTAGGTCAGAGTAGAAAGGATGAGATTAAGATTTTGGCTATATGTACTGTTACTAGAGTACTTGCCCCCATTAGAGCAGCCATTTGATTGTGCGCTGCTGAAGGAAAAGCTAAAAAGAATATTAGTCCAAATTACATAAGAACAAAAGTTGGATAACTCATTAGAGAACCATGGCAAAGTGCCATTAAATCTTCAAAGTCCATTAAGACTTTCTCGTATTGATAAAATTTTTTTATCTCTTAGGTTAGAAATCAGATGATATGTAGGTTTATCTTAATGTAAAGAAGTCGACTTGAATATATCTGGTTATTACTATTCAGCATTCCAATTCCCCCCGTTCGGCACCTTATGGCGACCTGGTTGTGGAAATTTTGGTCCGGTCGTGCCGTGGACCCTCGTTCGACTAGACCTGCGTGGCACCATTGGACCTACTCTGACTACATTGGAGGGCCAATGAGGAGCTCCATCGCACCATGTGCTAAAAAGCTCCAGCCTCCGGTCAATCCATACACGGTCATTCTTTTGGCCAAAGGCAATTCAAGGATTTTAAGTTAATTGTTAGTTAATAAACATATAATTATAACTAATAACAAAATTTTGAGTGAATACTTATGTTTAATTCATTCTTCATTATAATTTATAACCAAATTTTAGTTAATTATTAATTAATAAAAAAATTTGTGCATAAGTTTTTATTAATTATTTATCGTTTTTAATGAGCATAACGTTTAAATTATTAAATTTAAATGAATTATGAATTTGATTTTGATCTAATAATCCAAAAAAGATATAAAAATTATATTAATGTAAGTGAATCTCTATTCTTATTATTTTTATTAACATTTATAAATATTGATAAGAGTGTATTATTATTCCAATAATATAGATTGATTCAATCTAAATTAATTTCACTTATTTTATTTGTATTACATATAATATTGAAGTCATTATTATAAATAAAACCAAAATTAGAAATTCATAAATTTGTTAACTAACTTCTCAATGCAATTTTTGCTAAAATTAGTAAGAAGCTAAATGATCTAATCTCAATTGTGAACATAAAAAAATTATTACTTTTTAAGTTCAATAAAATTTAACTTTCTAAAAAATAAGAAATTTCGATTTTAAAATTATAACAATATAAAATATTTCTTTTGTCACTGCAATACGAGAGTCTTAACCTTTAAAATTATAAATAAATAAAATATTTGACGAATAATTTATGAATATATTTGATTATATTTATTTAATAAATTATTATAAATAATATTTTAAAATTTATTAAATAAATAAATTAATCAAATATAATAAAATTGATTGATATTCAATTCATTTACAAACTTATTTGTTTTTCCTTTTTATCACTGCTGATGTCAGTAGCTGATATCTCGTAGAATTATGCTCTTCTTTTGCTTACTGTTCGGGAGTTGGATTTCTAAAAGCAAAAAGCAAATGGAAAGAAACAAAAGAAAAGGCCAAACTAAAATACAACAAAATTTTTTTGCATGGCAGATCCAAAACTTGACGGGCCCAAATCCACTAAAGCCATCATCACCCAGAAAAACCTAGATCCAACGGTTATAAACACCCTATATAGTCACCATAAATAAAACCCTAATTCATACCCTCTCCCTCCTTTATTTCCCCTCCGCCTCTCTTTCTCTTTCAGCTGCAACTCTCTCACGCACCACAGCAAAAATGGTGAGATTTTCTTCTATATCTGGTAGATGGTATATTTTTATGCTTCTCAATCTTGTATCTTGGTTTTAATTTTTTTTTTTCTGATTTTTTTAGCCGTTCAAGAGGTACGTTGAGATCGGGAGAGTGGCTCTTGTTAACTACGGCAAAGACTACGGCAAGTTGGTGGTCATCGTTGATGTTGTTGACCAGAATAGAGTATGTCGTTTTTTGTTTCCAGATTTAATGCAGTATTAATTTTATTGTATTTATAATGATGAAATAGCATTTGGGTTTAACTTTGTTAGTGAATATATAATGGTTTTTTTTTTTTTTGTAAAGTTCTATGTGTCGGGGGAATGATGAAATTCAATGTGATACGGTTTTGAGGATTTTTAATGGATTTGGTTTCTTAGGGTATTTTAATTGGATTTAAGAGGATGTGAGGATCAATTGGTAACTTAAGGTGGAATTTTGTGGTTTTTTTTAAGAATTTGACTAAAAATGGGTTCTCTGTATTTTTCTTGTTGAGTGCAATCTAGGCTGTAAAATGTGATTCAGGGACGACATTGGAGCGAAAATGAATCTCTCTTTATGTGGTATTTTAGTGAGAAGCATATTAGAGTTACTATTCTAACCCTATGTTCCTTGCACTTGTGAGAGAATGTTGGATATTAGTAATTTAGTACGTGTTAGACATGTTTGCGAAGTCTTGGAGGGCCAGGACTGCATATTCACATCCACTTTGACGGAAAAAAATTGAAGAGTGGGAGAAACATCAGTCTAACCCTCTATGGATTACGCAAGCATGTTTGTTAATTTCTTTTTTCTCAGAATTTGTTAATCCGGTGTCTGTGACTGTTGTTTTGACTTGTTAATTATGGTACATGTTGTTTTACATGATGCACGGTGTTAATTTAGAGAATGGATTGAATGTTTAGTTTTCATCTCCATATTGAAAGATAGAATAATGAATCTATTTGAAGTTAGATAGGTGATATTGGCCTATAAGTGCATAAGGAGTGATGCATATATTTGCTTATATCTTGGTGTGGCAGGCACTTGTTGATGCTCCTGATATGGTCAGAGGCCAAATGAACTTCAAGAGGCTTACATTGACAGATATTACAATTGACATTCCCCGTGTTCCAAAGAAGAAGACATTGATTGAAGCTATGGAGAAGGCTGGTAAGGATGATAATTTTTACTTGCATGACTATGTTGTTTCTCAAAGTAAAACTTTCTTTTTAATTACTTTTATGTGACGGGCAGATGTTAAGAACAAGTGGGAGAATAGCTCATGGGGTAGAAAGCTAATTGTCCAAAAGAGAAGGGCTTCTCTCAATGACTTTGATAGGTTCAAGCTTATGTTAGCCAAGATCAAGGTCAGTTTGCAGTACCATTAATGTTTTACCTGTTTCATGCCCAATTGCTTTTCCCAATATCTAAATGCTTTCTTGAAACTTTGACCCAAGCTGACCTGGTGTAATATGATTTTGCAGAGGGCTGGAGTCGTCAGGCAAGAGCTTGCTAAGCTGAAAAAGGAGAATGCATCTTGAAGTGATACTGAATTATTGATTTTTGCTAGTTTTGTTATCAATATTCTGCAAGTTGTTCTTTGGAATGGTTTTTTGTTTGTTTTTCTATTAAGAAAGGATTAAGATGAGTTTTGAGCGCACTTTCTTTGCTATATGACAGATTTTGTAGTGAGTTTATTGCCACATATTGTGGTTGGTTGCATGCTGAAAGTCTTTTCAAACTTCAGGTATTTATATCGGCTGCATGAGACATAGGAGTGTATAGCTTAGCTGTACATCTGTTCTGCAGCTATGGCACCTTGTAGTTGTTATGAAGCCTTTAGTTTTTCTTTTTTTTTTGGTATATTACTGGAGTCTGGTTCGAGAATGAGTTGGATGATCATACTATAAGAAACTGAACTGCAATAGTTGAATTTAGAACAGGGATAACTTAAGCAGCTTGGTTTTTTTGCAAGATAATGAGCTATGTTCTTGGACCATTGCTTCAGTGTGGGATCAACAACTTAGTGGCAAACATTGGCTAATAGCAATGCTAGTTGAATATTTTAGAAATCCCCAGGGAATATTATTTATAAACATCAACCTCTTTGAATGTACTTTCCAGTTGTAGAAAATCAACAGCTTTTAATGGCAAAGATAGATTCGGCAATTTTACATACTCTATGGCAACACCAAAGGATCAAGATCAACCAAACCCGGTTGCAAAGAAAGCAACAGGTTTAGAGAGAAGAGCTGTCTTTTTTAAAGGGCAGAGAAAACTAGTAAGAGAAAAAACTGAAAATATCAGCTAATGACGAGATAAGGAGAAAAGAGGCAGTGGTCAAGAGAGCTGGGGGTTGATCAACAATGGCTATCGAGAAGCTAGTGAAGGGAAATGATAAAAGTCAGAGGGTTTGAGAGGAATGATGGACGAGAGTGATACAAGAGAAAGTGGGAGATAAGGAAAGGATGGAAGACTGCACTGGTTTTTATTTTTTACTTAGAGGTGAGCTTTGCTGCATGTCTTGAATTCTTTTTCTAAGTAGCGTGGGATTCATTTGGTTGGTAAGAGAAATTCTGAAATTGATAATTTAGGAATTCGTATTTATAAAATATTAATAATTTATATATTTATATTATATTTTATATGAAAATTATATATTATAATTTGTATTATATTTTAAATTGATAGACTCTTACGAGATCCAAGAACTACAGGAATTTTCTTAAATACAATAATAAACAATGGCTAAACTCCATGGATAACAAAAAAAAAAAAAAAACCATATATATGGTCATGTGGTGATGTTGCTAGAAACCCTTTCAGCTTAAGAACATTTACCAATGAATGTGGCTGCAGAAAGAACAGATTTCTTAAATATACCTATTTTTTCACGGTGCAGTAAGGAAAAGTAAATTAAAGAAGTGCGGAGAAAATCACAGCCAAATCCATATAAAAGAAGAAAAGCTTCGCCGCTTCACCTTCATCAAGAAGCTGTGAATTTCGTTTCACTAATCTTGAATGCATGTTAAATATTTTATTATAATTTAAAATTTATTCCTGAGGTTAATCAATTTTAAGTATAACCTAAAGCTCATATGTTAAGTCATAACATTTTGATCGTGAATTTTGATCCAATTTGTCGAATTTCTGACTGTCACATTTTTTTTTCTTATGTAGTTGATTTTTGCCTATAAAAAATTAAAACAAATAGAAAGTCAATAAGACTGACAATTTTTAGTATATCAGAAGACAGATTGTACATCATATTGTCAGGAAGACACATTCAGAGGCAGAAGACGTCTTTATTCTGTTTAAGTGAAAAACAAAATTCATTAGGACAGATTGTTTCAATGATTTGGCATTGAACTGAAATCACAATGGAACTAGATTGAGAGTAAGGTTTCAATTTGATATGGGAACTGCTATATGCTTATTTGAGCAAAAAAAAAAAAACCCTCAGTTGCAATATCTTTTGTAAAAATTATTTAACGACACTATGAGCATCCGCTTGAGTTTACCCTTTGAAGACGGATCAAGACCATAGCATACGGATTTACATATGATCAGAGAGTCAATGTAACTGCACTTCTAGATGTTGTGTTTCCCTTTAGCAGGGTTCTTCATTAATCAAAATCTGGATTAGTGATAGAAATTTCATTCCACTGGAAAATGGAGATGTGGACCGCAACGTGTAGAAAATGTTAATCACTTGTCTTTTCTGCTAAGACCAGACAAATCATTTTGAACAAATTGGCTTCTTGACCAATAACCAACCAGCAGACTGAAGACTGGTTTGTCAAAGACGCTGATGTCACCTCAACTTTTCAACCATTGCTTCTAGAAACAAATTGCTGAAGAAGAGTAGTCATTGGTTGGTTAGCCTTTTTCTGAAACCTTTGTTTGGTTCAAAGTTCACTTTGTCAAAAACTTTTTTAATTCAACTCATTCCTAATAATGTGATGAGGAAAAAAAAGGGTTTTCAATTGCTAAGTTTGACAGATTTTAGACAATTTTGGAGCTTGATATTCATTAGAATCTTGTTATTTAATCTGAAGTTTCACACTTCTGAACAAAATTTCTGGATTTTCTGGAGAACTATGCAAGAAGTCCTGATTCCAGAAGCCTTAGAAATGAAGTGTGGAATTATGAATTCCTGACAGGAAAAATAAAATGTTTTCCATCAGGTGTCTCTGATGACTTCTGAATGTGTTTAGTTGTAGACAAAACCTCAAACTAAATAATAGACCAGATTATTCAGTCAGTGTTTCTTTGCATGAAAACAATGAATTAATATGGATTCTACTGTCAACAAAACTAGAGAATAAAATTTATGGCACTGCAGAAACTGGAATGGTGCTTCAGGAATGGATGCATCAGATCATTCAATATCGATTTCGGTTTTGAAACAATGAACTAAGTTGGATTTATCTTTCCTATCAAAACAAATCAAAAAACAAAATTGCAACCTAAATTATGAATGGTTGATTTTGTCTGGCTGTTAGCTTAGTTTTCTTCTGGAATTGGTTGCACACCTACTTCTCTTGGACCTTATAACCACTGTTTATTATCAGCAGTTGAAGGGTAACTTTCTTGGCTTTTTGGCTGTAAAGGCAATCCACCAGGCATGAGCCATGACAAATATTGCATTCAAGATAGGTAAAGCTAAAAGCATGAATCAATGTGGCTAATTATTTCAAATATATTGTTCACCTAGCTCACCAGAATTCATATCAAGTCTGATATGAACTTTGTAGGCACAATTTTTTTAATTTTGGGATAACGTCACAAATGATCATTAACTTATAATAAAATATTCAATATGATATTTAAACTTTAAAATCTCTAATGTGATATTTAACTATAAATTTATTAACTAATATGATACTTCAAGAATTATTTATCCGTCATGTGTTATTGTTTGAAGCTAATCACATTAAGAATAAATATCATATTAATTAACAAATTTATAATTTTTTAAGTAATTAGAGCAATTCCCAACATTAGCCTTTTAATTTTCCTTCCAAAACCTAATCACTTATTTCTAAACCCTCAAAGAATGTGATTTGTTCGATGCTTGACAGGGTTAATTAAGTAAACAAGTGAGTATGTTCTTAATTGCTGGAAATTCAGACGTGAAGGATTTGTTCAAGTAAATGAAATGTCTTGTATCTAAAAGGAAAATATCAATGGAAATTGACACCCAAGCATTCCATTCAATAATTGTTTATGATTTAGAATTAAAACCAAGCCAAACCCAACGTATGTGTTTTGTATTGGAATTGAAACCAAATCCAAAATAACAAGAACAATTAATTTTTGTTTTTTCGATCCTTGCACGATTTCCTTGTTCAATCAAAGAGTAAGATTCGAATCCTCCCTTCTCAAATTAAAAAAAAAAAAAAAACGATGAAAAAAAAATTTGCTAGATGTCAAATTTTAGCAGGGTATAATTTGGTTTATCTACCCAACTGAGAAGGTAATTTCTTGTCTTGTTCTCCATTTTTCCACCTAGAAAGAGTCACACAGATGGACTAGTATCACCTGCCTTTCTCACAAGAGAAAAAAACGGAAGAGCATAGAAAAAGACCATCACATGAATAAATTTCCTCAACAGTTACAATCAAAGCCAATAAATGTTCCAATTTAAAGCATTAACCTGAATTTCAGACTTGATATTCTTAACAGCTTTAGACTTCCTATTGACTTCAAACACATCCTCCCTCATCAAAAGAAAAAACGTTTTGCAAACCAATGAAACAAATTTTAAAACCTGCCTCATTTCCCACTCCTCTCTGTCTCTTATTTTCTCCATTTGAAAATCTTTAGTATTTTCTTTTCTTTTTAATCATCTGCTTGCCACTAGAAAGATACATTCTCCAAGTTTCTGTGATCAAATCTCAAGGATAAACATGGGTCTAAAAGATCTTCACCTTAAGCTTAAGGTAACGCCAAGGCCAACACCTTTCTTTTTCTTTCTCTCTTCTTTATTTTTATTTTTATAATTGAGGTTGTCAGGGATGATCAAATTTATTACTGAAGAAAGAAATTCAGGGTTTTGGTTGAAGGGTATCTTTCTTCTGGTTGTATTGTAATCACCTCTTTTACAAGTTTATATAGTTTTGAAACGTATGGAAAACGAAATGAATTGTCTCTAAGATTAAAACCCAGAATTTTTTTTTTTATGTTTGATCAAGCAGTGTTCATATATATATATATAACCAGCTCTGGCTTTTCTTGATGTGTTTGGGTCGATGGAGCAGGCATTTAGGCTGAGACGATTTCGGATAGGAGATGGTGGGAGCAAGAAAAGAGAGAATGGGATTAAAAAGAAGCCATCTTGGATGATGCCAATCTCTCATGGCTATCATGTTGTGGAGCATAAATCATTGAGCGGCAGTTTGGATGAGTCAGACTTTGATTCAATTGTGGTTCAGAGAGAGCAAATTGAGGAGCTTGAGCTGTGGTTCTTTGGTGTTTTTGATCATCGGATTGGTGATGGAGTTACCAAGTACATGCAATCTCATTTCTTTGATAAGAAGCCTAAAGAGGTACTCCAGTTCATTGCCTAACATTGAAATTTTATTTTTATGGAAATAAATTACTACTATTATGAATTATAGTACTAAGAAATAGTAACCTAGAAATCATCAACATCCAATTGCTTATGATAAACTGTTGGAGACAAAATTTTAGTTTGGATTGCAATGTGCAAAATCAAGGGCATTCACTGGCCTATTACTAGACCAATTGTCTTCTGATAAGGAAAAATGTGCATATATGTATGCCTATTTGCTATGCAGACACATACATGGAATTCCATTTTCAAATTGTCTATGGAATCAAAATTATGGAGTAAATCGCACCATACATCGATTCATCTATGATCTTTGTGTAATATTTTATTTTCATTCACAACTTTTAAAATCAATTTTTTTATCTAGGATCATTACTTTTTTAAAAATATTTTAAATTCATTTATTTTGTTAAATTATCATTAAAATGTGATAAAATTTGTCACTTTAGTGTCATGTAAATGTTTATACGGATATTCATGTGACTAAAATATTAGAGTACCATTTGATTTAAAATTGTAATTTTTGTCCGTTAATATTCATATAACATTGATGTTATATATTCAGTTGAATTTTAACAATAATCGAATGAATTTGAAAACCTTATAAAAAGTGAATCTAAAATTTTAATTTTTAAAATCATGGATTAGAAAGGAATATTGCACAAAAAATTAGGGATGATGGGTGAATTTGACTCAATCTCATGAGTAAAGTATGAGGTTCCACTTCAAAACATTGTAAATGTGCAATCAAAGCTGAGATATGTATGAAATTAATTTAAGTCTAGCTTAAGATATCTCCTTTCAATCTCTGTCCTTATGTCACAATGTGTTTTCAGTCTCAAATAAATAGAAAGACCAAAGAGACAATGAAAAAAGCATATCTTGGTGCAAGAGCAAAGGTCCGAGAAGCACAAAAAGAAGATGAGACGCTGAGAGCTGGCTCAGCATCTGTGATGCTGATCAATGGAGAAAAGCTTGTGACAGCCAACCTGGGTGGCTACAGAGCTGTTATATGTAGAGATGGTGTGGCTCATCAGATGAGCAGCAAGCACCATGCTGGAGCCAGAAGACATTGGACTCGAAGACTGTTTCCAGGTATCGAACAGTTTATTATGGCATAAAGCTTGAAAGTCTCCAGCACATTATATCTAGATTTTGCTGAAATTAGATTTGCAAAAGACAATTTATTTAGAAAGTAAGTCATAACCCAAGATAAAAGAAGAAATTGCGAGTACCGGGTTTTGAGATACTAAATACGTCCTCTTAAAATGATTACATAAATCAATCAGATTAAATTTTGAGTTCAAAAATATAATGTGAATTCTAAAACATTTTACAATGAAAACAAATCTGAATTCCGGTAGTGATCTACCTTGGATCCTTTACCCAATTCTCATACACTGGTAAAAACATTGTGCTTCTGATTTTTTTTCCCCTTGTGGTGGGGGGATTATGTTTTGGATATCTTTAAACATTTTGTTGATGACATTATCTGATGCTGAGTGTCATATTTGGGCCCAAAGTGCGCATATTGGCATGCGACTCAAGTAATGCAGCAGCGTTAAGGCACCCCAAAAGCTCCGAACTTCTTGTTGGGGCTGAAAAGGTCGATGCTGAGACTGAATTCATCATCATAGCAAGCAATGGAATCTGGGAGGTAAGGTTTACAAGAAAAAGGTTAAAAGATTGACTTTCAACAATTAACAAGTAACTATAATTTACGGTCATCCAGGTGATGAAAAATCAAGAAGCTGTGAATCTGATCAGGCATTTAGAGGATCCACAAGAAGCTGCTGAGTGTCTGACAAAGGAGGCTTTATCAAGAATGAGCAAGAGCAATATATCCTGTGTCATCATCCGTTTTGATTAGTACTATGTTTTTTCTTCTGGAGTTCAGCGTCGGTTTATGTATCAATGAACCCCAAATTGCAACCAAAAGGGGTTTTGTTTTGTTTTGTTTTTTTTTAACTTTCAGAATAAAATGGAAATGGCAACAATCTAATAGGAGCAGCAGATGGATTAAATTCTATTTTTTCTCACACAGAATAGACCTCACAAATAAACAATGGCAGAAATCTATGGATACAAACAAGAAATGAAAAAAAGTATATATATAATCACGTGGAGAAGTCGCAACATACCAAAACAGTTTAAGAACATTAACCAATGAATGTGGCTGCAGAAAGAACTTTTTTTACAAAAATATTCTTAATGGGTACCTATTTTTTCACATTGCGGTAACGAAAAATAAATTTTAAAAAAATATATGTAACAATTCACAACCAAATCCATAGAAAAAACCAGCTTTGCCACTTCACCTTCATCATAAAGCAGTCAACTTCTTCTCACTATTCTTGCTTCTGAATGGGGACAACAGGGAGAATGAGCGTGAAGCTGCATGATCATATATAAAGTCCTTCATGTCAGATTATCTACCTTAATGATGTAAAGTACGGCTATTTGTGAACATCAAGGGAGGAAAGGAATCAAAGAATACATATGGTCCAATAAGCAGCAACTACTTACACTTTTGTGGGGTATTGCCGGCTGTCGGGGTCTCATCCTGAGAGATCAGATTCTTCAATGTATGAACTGACAACAACCTTAATATTAGTAAGCTTCAGGACTAAATGCAATCAGAAAATTACCAAAGCTACAATGAGAAACTCGATTACTTAAAACTCTGTATTCTAGCACTGCAATTTTGAGTTTGCAAGTAAATTGCTCACAATCCTAGAACACGTAGCTAATGACTGACTCACAACAGCCAATTTGTAAATCAAAATTGTCAGTGCTCCACCCTAATAAATCAACCTGGAGTGTTTATATTTTGATGATAACATACCTTTTTTCAGAGCTTTATGCTCAAAGCAAATAATCTCCCTTGCATAAAATAAGACATTTATCTTGTTTAAAGATTGAGGTAAGTTATTATCAGTGTGCCAAGACACCCAACCCCAGAGCTCGTTTGATGGAAATTAGCCTCTCACACCAAATCATATCCCACTTGGTGTAAAAATACTTTTCTGTAAAAGCACTGGATCAAACAACAAAACTTTAAGTGTAACCTAAAGCCGATAAGTCATAACATTTCACAGTGAAATCTGACCTAATTCTATTGCATTTTCTTCTTATGTGATTGCTTTTGACCTATCAAAAAATAAAACAAAAGGAAATTCAGTGACACTGACAAAACTTTTAACTGATCCAAGTATATCAGAAAAGAGATTTGCAAGTGGAGCTCATGACTCTCCCTGCAGCATATCAAATATTAAAGTACCAATAACTCATTTGGTCCAAATAATACTGATTTCAAATGGTGTGAATAGTGTATCAGATCCGAAGATAGTCATGCATTTGTATCTCACTATCCATCAAAGTGCACAAGATAGTCATGCATTTGTATCTCACTATCCATCAAAGTGCACAAGGAATGAGAAACAAGGCAATTACCTTCACTAGAAGAGGCAGTGTTTGCAACCAACTCATCAGCCTCAGAACCATTAACACTGACACTATCTGGATCCATACTATGTTCACTTGTAGCTGAGCTATGATTCTTTCTTCCAAACTTCAACAGCCGTCGAAACCCTTTGGATGACTCCTTTACCTGAGGCTTATCCAACACTTCGGGAATCTTTTCTAGTTTCAAGTTCTTAGTATTGGCAACAAGAGCTCTAACACTCTCTGACTCTGTTGCTGCAGCCTGCGTGCTAATTGGAGGTGCCCTGCCATACTCTGAAATTTCAGTGCATGGATCTTCCAAAGAAGAGACCCGAGCAAATGGGGCTTGATAAGGGTTTTCAGTAGCACTTGAGCTCGTAAATTTTGATGATTCCTTCTCGGTGTTACTCACATTTCCCTTTTGAACCTGGAAATTTGTACATCATATTATCAAGAAGACTCACGTTCAGAAGCAAATGAAATATTTATTCTCTGGTTAAGATGAAAAAGAAAATTCATTAAAACAGATATTTGACCAATTTGGCATTGAACTGAAATCACAATGGAAGTAATTGAGAATAACGTTTCAATTTAATATGTGAACTGCTATAGGATTATTTGAGCAAAAACTACTAAAATAAGGTTTCAATGAGCTCTCTACGAGGATGGCCAGTCTTCCACTTGTGGGGTGCTGTGGCTAAACGATAAAAGATGACCTAAAATATTTGAATTACCAATATAATTCTAAGCTCTTTAAGGAAAGAAATACACATAAGCAGCCTGCCTCTTGTCAGAAAACCAGTAATGATATAATTAGGAATAGATTTTTAGCTACTGATGATTTGCTTCCATATTCCTGTCAATATAGAACTAAAAAACTCTGGGCTACATTAATTAAAAAAAAAACACAGTTCCCCCTTCTCAATCAAGTTCTTACAAACCCTACCTCATAAGCTTGTGGTCTTTGCTGTATATGGTCTTCATTCAGTGAAGAAACTGGTGGACTAATGGCAGCATAATCTGATACCATTTCAGTTTTCCTCCCTATTTTAAAGATGCCATCATTTTCCTTCGGCTCTGCTGTAGTTCCTTCTGATGAGTTTACTGTGGGAATGGAGGGCTTTTGGCATTCAAGCATCACAACAGTTTTCTCAATTACTGTACTGTCATTCTCATCAATACGTAGTGAAACTTTGTCCTTGTTCCTATTTGGTTCAGTAACATTGGTGGCAGAAGAAATACTTCCATTCACCTTCTGAGGTATTTCATTTCCTCCTGATTTATTGTGGGTGACAGCAGGGGCTTTGGTTGTTTTAATTTTGAGCTCCGGAAGAGATGCAATCATACTTTTATCATGGTTCATAATTGCAGACATTTTTTTGCTTTCAAGCCTTCCAGGTACTTTTGTTTTGGATGATGGTTCAGACTTCCGTGACTTCACCAAGGAAACATGTGGGCTGCTACTTGTTTTCGGCTCTGATAATCTCCTAATGCTTGCCATAGATGCCTTTGCATCGGGAGTTATACTGCTGATGTCTTTCTTAGGTTCAGGCAGTGATGAAACTGAATGGCTTAATCTATTTCCACTGGAATGGGTTCCAGTGTTCAATTTACTGGGTTTGGAGGCTTTGTGAGAATCAGCTGATCCCACAGAACCAGTCCTGATGGATCTTTGCAGTGGTGATGAGGATCCAGGCTCAGCATCAGTAAACTTTGATCCCTTATGAGAGCTTGGGGAAAGTTTTGACGGCAATTGTTTCCTGCTTTGCGCAGCCACAGATGACTGAGCAGGACCAGAACTGCCTCTAGCAGCAATTCTTTTTTGTCTCTCCATCTTCAATGCTTCCAGTCGTCTAATCTCTGCCTCTTCCTGAAAAAGTGTTAACATGAATTAAAAAATAAAAACTAATAAAGAATTTATTTGATAAACCACATGAGCTAGCTGTAAAGAGAGCTGAGGTTTTACTATAAGTATTCAAAGTATTCAGTGGGCACCAAAAGCAGCATACCTTCTCTTTCTTCATTTTCTGAAGATCAGCTTTATAGGTTCTTAGCCTCTCAGCCCGGGCTTTTGCTTCATCCAAAGGACTCAGTTTTGAAGGTTTTCCTTTCCTTATTGGCCCAACAACCTTCTTTTTATCAGAAGGATCTGCAATGAGTTTTGATTTTCGGTCCTTGTCTGACTTCTTAGACCCCTGCATGCCCTCTTTATTTTTCTTATCCAGTGAAGTACCATCTTCAGCACGAACCTGCATTTCATAATCCAAAGCAGGATCATAACCAATTGATCCCATTTCTGCTCCACGCTCAGGCATCAATGTCAAATCATCTGGTTCATAGTTGATCTGGCTCCCAACCCTATTAGATATATTTTCTGCCTTTTGAAGTGACAACGAGAACTCAGAATCCATATTGATAGCATTGCGATCATCAGTTCCAACTTGAGTGACTGAACTTGACCTGAATGGAACTATGTAGGAATCATCATCTATATTATTTGATGATCCTTTTTCCAACCTATTGGATGAATGTTCAAACCCATTAACAGCCAGTGGATTTGATGGAGAATTCATAAAATCTGACTGATTCTGTTGTCTATCTATAATGAAGTCATCATTTGTGGTCCTCCTATACACCCTCCTGCCATCTATTTCTTTAGAATGTAAATCCATTTGACCACCCATGAAAATCCTACCATCAGCAGAGTGAACACCTCTTCCAGAAATCCAAGACTGATCATTTGATGCTTTAGGCATGCGAGAGCCACTTGCACTTATTTTATCCATGTCAGTTGTATTCTCTTCTTCGTATTGACTCATTCGTCCCCCAAAAACTGATGGGTCTTCACTAACTCTAGTTGGTCTTCTCTTACCTCGAACCTCCTTTTCTACTGAAAACATGCCTTGGTCAGTTCTACGTTCTTCCTCTTCAGCATCTCTAAGTAAATAATTTTGAAATGCTTGCCAGTTTCCACCATCTGTCTCCTTCACGGGAACTGTTTCTTCCCTATCAAATGAATTCAAAGCATCAACAGACTTTGTTCGACTTCCTTTCCCCTTTGAGGATCTCAGAGACTTCTTATGCTGAGTATCTCCATCTTCCTCGTCCATATCAGAGCCAGAATGCGACTGCGAATCACTACCTGAAGAGTTTTGCCTCTTTGAAGTGATATAATTGATGTTCCGAATGACCACCATTCCTGACGGCTTTTTACCTGACCTGCTGCTTTTTTTTCTTGATTTTGGACTTAGTGAAGTTTCATTCTCCAACTCCTCGTCATCTTGGGATTTTGCTCTCTCCATTTCCCAGGTATCAGATCCATTATGGCTATCTCTGCTATCCATTGAATGTCGTTTCTGTATTCTTTGACCAGCATTGAATCTTGGATCCTCCATTGATGGATAAGGTTGCTGAAAGAATGGGCCACCTCCTGGATAGTTTGGGTAGTAGGGCATGCCTTGCATAGGATATCCTTGAAAGGTTGGCATACCACCTGGTGGAGAATGGATAGGCCAGGGAGGAAACATGGTATGTGGAAACTGGGCCTGGTAATATTCTTGGCGGCCAGGGGTCCATTGATCCATGGGAGGCTTCTCATCTGGCCATATCAGAATTTTATTTATTTCAATTCATAATTAGGAGAAAGTAGCAATCATGAATAAAATGTGTCAAGCATGCATTTGAGGTGTGAAAAGCAAATGGATGAATGCCGCAAAGAAAGGATATCCCAACTCAGGTAAATTTCTTGTAACCAGCAAAGTAATGACGCAAGTGACCAACAATGGTGGGAGTTTGCAAGTCCTGGGATCAAGCCCAAGCAAATGGGTCATTTGATCTTATCAATTTAATATCTGATACATTGGGTCATTGGCTCACTTGATATTAAATTTCCCTTTTTAGGGGGAGAGTCTACCCACAGTAGCACTACAGCTCAGCCTGACGCACCCCAACAATCACCAGCACAAGGAAACCTGTATTTACATTCTATGAAAATAGCAAAACTACTAAAGTAGTCTATGACCTCTAGAAGACAACAAAAGTTAAAAAAAATAATAATAATAATAATCTCCCTTTGCTTCGAGAAGGAAATTGATGAGTTACTCAGAGAACATAGCAATGTTTCCTGTCATACAGAAAAAAGGATGAACTAACATTTTAACTAGAGGACACCTATAAAGACATACCTGTACTTGACTCAACACCAGCTTTTCCATTGTTTTCTGAAAACACAATGCCAGTTGCATTCATAGCAGAGAAATCAGATTGACTAGATATTGCTTCAGCTGCTTCAATTTCAAGCCACTGGCCAGTTTCATGCTTTCTTTTCCATAATTCAGTAAATTTTACACAAGCATCCCTGCAATGAAAAAGAGAACTTAATCAAGAGACTATTCAAAAGTGCACAAATTATTCTTCCATGGGTCTCATTGGTGGAAAACTGACATCTAAACCATGGTAATTTTGACCTAGGAAAGACACCTAATCAATAAATGCACATGTGATCACCCATAAAAATTTTTTGTTGCATAGAACTAAGTTTTCCTGTTCAAAAATCCCATATACCTCAAGCGAGAGGCTCCAAAACTTTCAGCAAATGACATCAAAGGTGCCATGTGGTCAATGTCAAAACCAGCAGCTACAGCACGTGCAAAGGCCATTCCTTGCTCTTTCTGCAGCACTGTCTTCCTTGTCTCCAGGACTTTCAAAAGTTGAAGTCTAGTAAAAAGCCAAAACAATATATTATGTACGGCTTTAAGATTATTCCAACAAATTAAACATATAATAAGAGATGATATTCAACACTATGTTCTTCATTTTTAACATGACATAATGTGCCACCTGTCTCATTCTTTTTGCCTTTTTTGAAATGTTCACTGTCCTGAGTAGTTAAATAATTAACTACAAACATTTTGACCACTTTTTGAATTCTTACCCCTTACTATAAATAATTTAGAGTATACATATAGCGAAAGAGAACAAAGTCAACAGAAAGTTATGCAAAACATTTAAGTAATTTGTGAAGAATCTAACATGCCTCTCTTCCACATCCTCCCACCAAAAGCTGTCGTGTTTTTTTGCCCTTCCCCAGAACCCCGTGTCCCCCAAGGAAGATCCTCTCAGATATGGGTGTAACCAAGAATACTCAGACTTGACTCATTCACTGTTCAGTCAAGCTTGAGCATAAGTAGCTAAAATTGTCTAGTGAGCCAAGTTCAAGTATGTACACCTTAAACAGTAGGAAGGTAAACCTAAGGAACATGAAAACGATAAGTTATTTGTTTGTCAGTCAGATCAGTATATCACAGCACTTCCCCTCCATATTTTACATGCTGCCTGTAACAGTATTTACCATTATAATGTTATTGCATTCATGAAATCCCTGATTCCCTTGCTAAAGTGAAGGCTTTCTAGGAAACTAGACAGATGGAAAAATAAATTAAACTATGCAAAATTCGAAGTGACCAAAAAACTATAGATAATATGCAATTCAATATCCTCAATTAAAGATTTATCCATGCATCCACAATACAACATACTTAGAATTTCCCTCCTTCACAGTAGACCCGTTCGCTTCAGGTGGTGGAGTGCCAGGCTGCCAAAAAAAAGAGTTAAACAAATTTATGAAAAGATTTAATACCTGCTAAGAACTATTTGGTGCATACTCACCGTGTAAAGGACAATGGCTTTCTCCTCATTGGAATCTGGTGTAACCCTGCTGCCTGTCCAAAGCCATCAGGTGTAATACAAGAAATAAAAAATTAAAACAGAAAGCAAAAATTTTTTGAAACTAATGATGAAAAAATTGCGGAATAAAAGACTTCAACAAGCATGATACTCCACTACGAACATTTATTAGCATGATGGTAACTCCGTAATGGACAAAATAACACAAAGATAAAAGGTGACTAGAAAATATAAAATGGTAGGAAATTTTAATGCACGACTGCATCCATAATTATATAAAAAATGGCACTGATCCAGATGAAGTTAGAAGTGAAGAATATAGTCAGAAAGTTATTAACAGTACCTTCTATGCTTTCCAAAGGTTTCACTGGATGTTCTTCTACCTGTCAAAAAAAAGAACAAGTATAAATGTATAAGTAATCTCTATGGTATAAATATAATATAACTACCAAAGATTCTACTTACAGCACTCAATCCTATATTGTTGTTGCTTTGAATTGCAATAGCCTCTTCAATCTGCAAAATTTCAGATTCGATGGTATACACTCGTTCCAAAATCTCTGGAGTACTAACAAATCGAACAAACCTACAAAAGCCAAAACAAAATAGTATCTCATGTCAATTTCAAGGGGAAATAAAAGCTTTATCACAGAGCCATTTTTGACAATAAGCTTCATAGATATGACAGATTCAACCATCAGAGCACAACAGTGCTCCAATGCCAATTTTGCTTTCCGGAATAACAACTACATGGCCTTTATCAAACAACAGAGAAGGCCCATCCAATCTTCATGATATAGAAAATAATCCCAGTAAGAAAGAAGCAGAAAATAAGATTACAAACTTTTCCATTGTTCCTTTTGTAAACCAAGTTGCATCAATGTTGGGGTCTGGTTTAAGAATAATTGAATAACCCCCCTTAGCCATCTGCTCTTGTGCAGTCTTCAAATGGGGGAGAAATGGATTAAGCAAACCTGAAGCCATTTTCTCTGTCTTCCCATTTGCAGATATCACCAAATCACACCTGATGAAAGTAAAGCAAAACTTAATAAATTATATCTACAAAGATTATGAGCAAACAATACCAAATTCAAAATCTTAAATATATGTTAATGCACACCAACTCGAGGGAACAAAACTCTAATGCTAACATTTCAAACTGATAAAACATAACTATATAAATATATATATATATATAAGAACCAAAATTTTATCCAAATACTGAAAAATATAAGCATGATTAATACCTCTATCAAGCTAAGAATCAGCTACTAATTAAAGAAAATTATTACCTAGTTCGAGTTGGTGTGAGTTGGAACACCACTGAGTCAAGCAGAGTTGCAGTCTTCATTGTTACCTCCTCAAAAGACAGATCTTTGATGGTGAAATGGCTTTGTTATGAAATAAAAGCTACAAATTTCATGAAAATTCGCAAAAAAGAAACAATTTTGACATTTGGGTTTTAAAGATAGCTCAGTTTAGAAACAGAAAAAAGGTTTGCAGAGAACCAGAAAGACCTCATGAAAAGGGAAAGTTTTCATAGAAATATAGAAATATAGGTGTTTTTAGAGAGAGTAAGTGAAAAAAAAAAAAATCTCTTTTCAGAAAGAGAAAGACAGGACCCAAAGACTGTTTTGTGAAGTCTTAGGATGCTGAGGAACCAAAAAAAAAAAAAAACATTTACTTCTTTGCTGACACTTTGCTCGGAAAGGGACAAATAAAGAAAATGTTCAAGGTTAGGATGGCAAATTTAAGTAAAGTTGACGACAAATATGAGAAATATTTTACAGGTTGAGGATTAATTCATTTAATGAATTTACAGAAATAAACTTTTGTTTTTTGTCAACGGTAACGTTGAATAACTTACATGCCACTCTTGCCTTTTTTTTTTTTCCCCCAAGATAAGCTAAACTTAACGAGGTTCTTAAATTTAATGGGTTTATGCTAATTTCATGGGATTTATTAGATTAGTAGTTTTTTAACAATTTCATCAATCAATCAAAATTTTCCATGTAAGATTTTAGAAGTTTAAATTTTTAAACATATCAAAACTTCGATCATAATACATAAATTTCAATACAATTACCAAAATTTAAATTATAATGTTCATCAGATTTTAATTTAAGTGGTAAAGTTTTGATGCAAGAGATTAGGGTATATATATATATAAAAGAAATTTAAAGTTAAATTTAAATTGTAATAGTAAGTAATGTGGGTTACACGTAATGTGTATGCAAATAAGTAAATAATTTAGGTTGTTATGACAAAGGAAAGGAATCTTATCTTTTCCATATGGTGATGATGGTATTCTAAAAGTGTTAACTCCACCCATATAAATCATATTCATGTTGAAAAAATTATTGGTTTGAATTAAGAGGCTAATAAGGTATAAAAGTCCAAGATAATAGTGCCAATGCATCATAATTCTTTAAGGCTTGAGCCAATCACAATTCCCAAATTTTCCTTCGTGAGGAGGAATCTAAACCACGATGACAAAAATGGTCTTTGTCCCAATCAACCATCACATGAAGAAGAAACTGGTCATTGGAGATTTTGTCAAAGGACTATTTGTACTTCCAAAAAAAAAATTTCAATACATCCCACAAAATTAATTAAATAAAAAATTAATTAAATTTCTATTAATTAATATTTTTTTATCTTTTACACTTCTTTTAGTAAGTTATTAGGAATGAATTTTCAAAAAAATTTTCAATGTATCATAAATGTATTTTCAAAAATTTTAACTATATCAAAAATTTATTTTCGAAAAACATTACAATTATCCAAAAATGTATTTTCACAAAGTATAGCAATTATTCAAAAATACATTTTCAAAAATAATTTTTTACTTCAATTTATTTATTTGCAATTTCCGTTCAATAACATTCAAAATATTTATCAATTCTAATAAAACATGCGTTTAAAAAAAATCACTAATTATGAAGAACACTCGTGCAAGTGGCTATTGTATCATATGTGACAAGATGGTCACCTCCATCACACGTGGTGCAACGAACGTTTTTTCACACTTAGAAATTTCTCTCAGATGCAAGTCTGTCAAAATTACAAAATATTGCAAATGTTATTGAATATACAATATTTAGTGGTCGAAAAATTAAACATCTCTATTGGTGGATTTATCAATCTATTAATGATATAATAAGGTCAATTTTTGTATTCTAAAAAGTTATTTAGCTTTTATTGGTGATTGAATGTTATTGTATATCGGAAATCTATTTCCAAAAATTTTTGAAGGACTCCATAAATGAATATCCAAAAACCATTGAGAAATTTCGAAAATATACTTCTAGAAATTCTTAAAGGTTTTCAAAATTAGATATCCAAAAATAGATTTTGGAAATGAATTTTCAATACATTGAAAAAATTTTCAGACATCCATTTCCAAAATCCTTTAACAATTTTCAAAAATTCATTTACGAAATTATTGAATCACCACCTTAAATCACACCCCTAAACTTCAAATCCTAAATATTTAGAAACTAAACACAAAATTAAATGAAAAAATAGAAAAAAAAAATTAACTATGGTTCTAAGTTATCTGACATCAAAATCAAGATTAGGGCTTGATTTGGGATTGAATCCCTAAAGGGTTTAGGGTTTCGGTGAAGAAGAAGAGAGATGGTGGGAGTTTTTTTTTTTCCTTTAGGAAATTAATGTTTTAGTTTGGGGTGTGAAGAGAAAAAGAAATGTGTGTTAATAGTAGGGGGTGTGAATAGAGAAAATGGGAGTGAAAATAAGTCATAGCTTAGAATAAGTAAAAGATTATAACAATAAGTATTAACATTTGAATTTTTGTTAGATGTTATTCGATTATATAAATCAATTAAATTACATAAATCAATTGGATCACAAATTTCGTTTGATCGATAATTTCAATATATGTCTTTTGTTTTCTATTTATTTATTATTATTTATACATACAATCAATTTTTTTCCAAAAAAATAAATAATATAAATATAAATCGAACGAAACTTGAATAATGTATTTTTGATAACCCTTTAAAACAATTTTTATTAAGGTTAATGACTCCAAGTTTATATAAACAAAAATGCATCAATGATCTTGATATAATATAGTATATGATGATAGGCGGTTTAATCAATATTGTCCCTTTAAAAATGAAATCTTAAAATTATTAATTTTTAAATATCAAAAGATAAATAAATGCATTAAAAAAAGTTACATGTTGGCAACTATGCTTTAGCAATTACAACTAAAAAATAAATAAAAAGTGGTCCAATTGATAGTGAACTACTAGTTAAAACATGGATGGTCCTTTTCTTTTCTTTTCTTGTATCATTGTTTATTATCTCTATTTTTTTTTCCTTTCTATTCTTTTTTTATTCTTTTCCTTTTTGTTTTATTAGAATTTAGAAACCATCTCCTCCAAAGATGTCTCTTTACAAAATTTTAATGGGATATATTTATAAAAAAAATTATTTTATTTATTGTTAGTGAAGTTAAACTTCTTAAATAGAGTTAGCAAGGGTATATTAAAAAAATTCAAAATTTAATAAAAAATTCAAAATATATGTTAATTTTTTAATTTCGTTTATAAAATTAAAAAATAATAATTTTTTTTCTTTTTGATTGATCTACCAACCAATATTAAAAATATGAATCATATAATTTTTTTTAATCTATCATGTAAACAAATGGTAGTATCCATGTGCTACATTAAATGTATTATCAAGTATATGTACTTAAAATTTTCCTTTACTCTCTTAGTACTCATGTTTTAATTAGAATTGTATGATCAGTGAATTTAAAGTACAAGTAATTTGTATTTTATAATTAAAATTAAAGAAATGGAATTCTTTAGGAAATGTTGGTGTCAAAATATGATAAAGTGTCAAAATCAAGTTTGATACAAAGATAAATTAAAATATTATTTAAAACAATACTTGCATATAAATTTAACATTCACCAATGGATTACATATCCTAGCCAATACTTTAAATTGAGCACATTCAATGTATAAAGCTATGAACTATAGAAATTTTAGTCTGCATCATTTGTGATGTTCCCCTTGCCCCAAACAAGCATCAAATTATCATTTTTTTTTTTTATTGAAGAAGTGTGACTTGAATTTTGCTTAATTTTTAATATAAAATTGTACACCAATTATTAAATTAAATGTTCAGGAGTTGAATTAACTTTTTTTGAGACAATCAAATTGATATTTTTTTAATTGCTCTTGATTGTAAAGTAATACATAATTATAAAAAAAAGTATACTAATTAAAAAAATAAAAAGAAAATAAAAGGGTATATTTTGTTGGGTACATGTTCTTTATGGTCTTGATATTATCCTCCAATCTACTTTGAATTAAGACAGTATGTTAAAGTCCAATTTATAATAAAAAATATACTAATAACCAAATTAATTTTAAAGATTAATTATATGGTAGGTCCAAATATGCTCCAACTTCTAGACAAAGAAAACGGTTCATTCTCTCCTTTCAAAATTAAACAGCAGCTCCAATTTTGTCCTTTGGTTGTGGGTAGTAGGTTTGTAGGTGGTTAAGTTGTTGACCCAAATTCTCTTTCCAAATGCTAATTTTTATTCCTTTTTAATTAATTTTTTGAACAAACCCAAGTATTCGAATGTAATTTATCATTTTCATTCCATGTCTTCAAAAATAAATATAAGATTATTTTATCGTTTATCTCTTGATTTAGTTGATATGTCAGTTGACACTTAAATATTACATATTTCAGAAAATTTAAATGTTTAATATCATTTTTAATTAGATATATAATAAAATAAAAAATTTTAAAATAAACTAAAAACTTAAAAAAAAAAAGAGATTATCTTATTTAGAAGTACACATATAACTAAAATGTAGATTTGATAATTTAAAACACGGTAACATAATACGCAAACGATATGAATAAAAGATACGAAAATAACATTACTTAAAATTTGAGAAAAATTATAAATAAATTTAATAAAATAAAAAATTATATTTTATATTTTCGTGTCGATGATACAATATGAATAAAAAATATAAAATAATAACACTTAAAATTTTAAAAAAATCATAAATAAGTTTAATAAAATTAAAATTTTTTTTTATGTTTTCGTGTTAACACAAACTGTAATAAATAATTTTTGTATAAAACATAATACAAATAAAATATTTTATATAACACAATGATATGAATTATCAAATCTACCAAAATGGTATAATATTATCAAAGGATTCTCAATTTTTTGATTATAGGATGGGATTATCAATTTTTAAATATGTTATAGAATAATAAAAATTTCATATTTTTATCTTAGAATAGAAAAATGAATGGACTGATTTTTATTGCACGTACAAACAGAATAAAGCTCATAACTGCAATCATATTCATATTTTCCCTTGAAGAAATGTATGGGTATAATACGCTAAAAAAAAAAGAATTTATAAGAATAATATTCCAAATGTTTTTGTTGAATCCAACAAGAACATTAAAAAAAACTATTAAAATAGAAAAAAAAAATCACAAGCCATTTATGACCCACTTGGAATAAATGTTGCAAGTGAAAATAAAATATATACCAATTATATATAGTAGTTCTAAGATGTAGGTGGTGTTTTTGGATGGAAGGCAATTATTATTTTGGCTGACTTTATGAAAAAACACTTCATCTACAGATCATGACTTGCATGTCAAGATATCATTGGATGCTTAGCAAAGTGCCTCCAAAATTTATTTATAATATTGTTGAAATTATTTTTTAATTTTGTAATTAAATTCTTGCTTCTGTAGCTGTAGGTGAGTTGGAAGTAGGTGGGTTGTAGTTGTCAAACTTTCAAAGGAAATGAAGAATTGGAGAAAAAAATTTTCAGCCATTGAATTGGGAAGGTTGTTTTATGTTTACTTGTAAGTACCAAATATTCAAGTGTTGTAATGATAAGAAATAAACTTTGGTAGCCAGCACAAATATTTATAAACCACAAATAGAAAGAAACAAAAGTTAGTGCTGTAATAATTTTTACATTAATAAGACATGGATGTTTTGTTAAAGCTCCTCAGGACAACAATGTTAAATACTGTTCAACATGTAATAAAGTCGAAAAGAGAAAAAACCATTATTTACATTGGACAAGGGAAAAGGAAACCTTTTCTCCTTTCATTTCTTTGTTTTTTTTTTTTTTTTTTTCCTTCTAATGAATACTTTTTAACTATGATCAAGAGTGTCTCTTTATTTTTTTATTTGTCTAAAAATATTTAGGAGTAAAGAAGATTATTCTATCTTTAAGATCAAATCAGGTCGTAAATTTAATTGAAATTTACGGATTCATGAGATTTTTATCTGTAAAATTTTAAATTTATAAATCGTCTATCAATAAAAAATTATAAAAAATTCAAACCTAAGTAGTAATGCAGCATTAGCTTCTTACCACTTCTGCCAACCCTTCTTTGCTAGAGTGTTTCTTATATATATACTTCATGTATGCTTTTCATAAGACATTATCATGTCCTATATCCTAGCAAAATTATTGAAAATTGGGGAAAACAATTTAAAAAGAAAGATAATTTATCAAAGTTTGCTATTTGTTTAGGGTTACATGTCTAATCCATTCATTCTGCATGCCTTGCAAACTGATTCAAGGCACTATTAGGATTTTTATTACTTACAAGTGAAATTTAAGTAAGCACATATCCTCTTTATTTTATTTTATTTTTGCATATAACTTTATCAAAATCTCAGAGAATACTGACGACCAAGCCTATTGTTTGTAACCTTTGCAACATCAGAAAAGTTCCTGAATGCCACTTTCTGACCTGTAGCAACTTTTTGAAGGACTAATACCAGCAAGTTTTGAGCAGATTCCACTGATCAAACCATCTGATTTTTCATCTCCTTCTTCCCCTTCAGATTCCAACAAGGACCCTTTTTCTTGAATTGGTGGACCATTCCAGAGGTGCACCCTGTTCAATTTTTTATCTTCTGAGGGAAATTCAACAGTCCTCTCGTCTTGGATGCCTCTTTGATCAGAATAATTTTGTACAGGTTCTTTTGTCAGCAATTTGTCTAGGTCATTTATATAATTGCATGTGAAAGATGAAAAATATGAGCCAAAAGATGAAGCTCTTGATGAATCTGAGGAAGATGCTGAGGAAGGAGAAGTTGTTGTACTACCAAATCCTTGGATTTCTTTTGTTATTTTCAGGGCTTTTAATCTTGCTAATCTCAGTGTTTCTCCTCCTTCTAGTAGCTCTAGTACCCTATCTGATCTTTTTTGCATGTTAAGACCCCAATTGAACCTATTCACAAAAAAAAGCACAAATTGAATATGTAAATACAAGGGGAACCTCAAAAAAAAAAAAAAAAGGATTACCCTTTCTCATCTACATGTCTAAATGTTCCAAGCTCTTCAATAACATCACTATCACATATAAATTCTTCAGCAAAGGCTTCATGGCCATGAGTTAGTAAGAACTCAAGGAGTATCAATGCTTTGTAGGATTGTCTCCAATGCTTCCAATCAATGCTATCCAACCTGCAGATTAATTTCAGATTCCCAGTTAAGTAACTTCAAGAAAAGGATTGTTATTAATAAAATGATTGCGATGCGTTCATTTTTTTTTCGGGATTGTGTGGTAGAATTATGAGGAGAAAATAAATGGGTTTTCTTTTTCATTGTCAACAATGTTGGATTCATTACCTTTTGTGTAGAACATAAACAATTCTCCAATAATCATCCTTGTAAAATGATGCCTTAGATATCTTGGTCATTGTTCTAGCATCAGGCCCCCATGGATCATTACTTGTTGCTTCTTCAGCCAATCTTCATTAGATCAGGATCATAAATCATGCTCAATGTTCATAAGTTTTCCAGAAATCTCTTTCCATATTTCAAACAGAAAATTAAAATGATGATTCATTATTTATTGGATAAAGCTTAAAAAAAAAAGAGATGAAAACAAAAATTTTGGACTTACAATTCTGCAGCAGTAACATCACTAAAGACCATTCTTGCATTTTTGTACGTTTCTTGAAGAAAACAAGAAGCCTGTTTCTTAATCTGGTTTAGCAGAAAGGTCCCCATGAATAGAAACTTAAAAAGTTTTTTTTCTTAAAAAGCAGATGAACCTAAGAATTAAAAGAAGAGAAAATCAGATGTCGATCTCTTCATCAGAAACTTAATAAAAGGTTGTCATGAAGAATTTTACCAATTTTTATAAGAAGAAATTGGTCAGACCAACATTATTTGTTTGGATAGCAATGATTTTAGTTCAGATATTTCAGGGAAATTGCTAAACCCAAATCTACTTGACTGATGAATTTCAGCGAAAAGGGGAAATGTTTGATTGAACAGAAAATTAGGATCCTCAAACAGTGAAGCCTATGGATGAATTTTTTTTTAAAAATTTCTATTACTTAAGGTTTTGCACTTTAATGGGAATACACTCAATAATTATGCTTCTCTCTTTTAATATTTACCATGTGTAAATAAGGAAAAAGATGGCATATTTAAATCACTGATTAAAAAAAATCTACTATAAGCTCTTGTTACCCAACAAATAATTGATTCTTCATAAGAAATTAATTAATTCTTTTAAAAGCTCAAACAATCAAGGAAGAAAAGTAGGATTGCTCATGAGCAGGTGTAAACTACATCAGGCTAGGCTTTAAAGTTTTGTTTGGTAAAAAGAATGAAAAGGAGAAACATTAAAAAAAAAATTAATACAATAATTAGGTTTTCCTAATCAATTTTTTTCTTTTTATATATCTAAACCATTAAATTAATCATTTTTCATCTTTATAATTTCTTTTATTTTTCCTACCAAATCAAACCTAAGAGGGATTTGTTTTGATAGCTAGGTTATGAATTCCAAAAATGATCAACCAAATGTAAAAGATTCATATATTATCTACTTATGAGGCTTCTTTTTTCCTTTTTTTTTTTTTTCTGCCCAAATGATCAATTAGTACTTTTAATATAAATGAGTGCTTAAACTTTTACTTGAAGGGTTCAAAAATTGAAAACAAGCAAAGAACATATATATATATATATATCTAGATATATAAGCCTTGTTATCGTATCTTCATGAACCATATATATGTCATCATTTGCTTTTATAACATTTAAGGGCCAACGAAGAAATTATTCCTACATATATATATAGCTGGCTTCCTACACGTCTTCTCTCGAAAGAGAATGAGTAACCTCCCATGTTTTTTTTTTTTTTGCATCTAAATTAATTAGAGGATATATATATATATATATATATATATATACTTGGATAGAAATTGAATATTGTGGTATAATTTAGGTTTCTACCATATATACTCCTTCAAACCTTGGCATCTTTTCTTTTAAAAAAAAAGCCTTGACATCTCTGAAATTGAATGAGATGGGATATAGTCTATATATATGATTGAATTGTTTTTTTTTTTTAAGAAAAGAATACTGTATTTTTGCAACAAATTTCTGATCCTTTTTTTTTTTTTTTTGGGTTTTTGGATTACGATTTAGATTTAAAGTCAAAACCCTCAGTTCTGAAATCTATGTTTATTCTTATAAAAAAATATTATTCTCTCTCTCTGATGTTATTTTTATAGGCTGGCATCAAAATTTAAATATATATATTCTGTTTTTTCAAAAAATGATAATGTGATAATGTAACTAATAATGTCAACTACTTAATTAACTAAAAAATTAGTTAGATATAATAAGTAATTTATTTTTATGACATAATACTAATATGATTTTAGATTTATATATTAAAAAATGCCGATGATGGCATTTAAAATTTTTGCGCATAAAATTCATGAATGAATAATAATATTGTGAATAGTAAAGTGAGATATGATACAAGATAAATTCCCTTTTCAATTTCATAAATAGCTAAAGAAAACCCTAGTACAACATCGAAAGATTAACACCCTAAATATTAAACTTTGGGGTGACCACAGTAAATAATGGAGCAAACATCTAAAGAAAAACAGGTATTATCATAGTCTAGATACCAAAGAGAAATTAAAGGAATATATCCCTAGTTCTCTTCCCTTCCATGCTTCAATGTCAAATCCAACACTTGTTGGTCTCCTAATTTACCAGCTGCTATTTCCCTGTCCATGAACGATGCCATTCCATCCACAAGTAAGGTTGCCTCCAACTGGTCCAGAAAGGGCCTGGTGACATAATCTACGTGAGGCTGTGGCACAAAGGTTATTTGTGGTGCAGCAGAGAGTGTTGGGTGTGTTCGGAGTAGCATGTTGTTGTTCTTAAACCGAAACGGAATAGGCGATGTGACAGTTGACCGCAGATCGAGTTTGCGAGCATTGGTTCCAATGGATAAAGGGTTTCTTTCTCTTGGCAGCGTAGACGAAGCATAACCATTGTGCAACGTCGACAACTTTGGTTCCTGATGCAGGACTTGTTGTCGGGTTGATAGCAGCTGAGGAGAATTTTGGTTGAAACGGTAGGCAAAGAGGCTTGTTTGGGTGGATTGCAAGTGGCTAAGTAAAAGCTGCTTTCTTGTAGCAGATTCATCAAGTAAAAGGTGAAGCTCCATGTGATCGAATAGTGCTTTTCTGCTCATGAAAATATGATCACAAATTCGACAAGCAATTAGGCCTGAATCAGGCTCTTGCCTTGCATGGTCAAGCTGAACCAGAACAGGCATACTGTTTGCATGCCTCGAGTTCAAACCAAAACCAGCAGCCATGGTTTTTGTTGAGAAAATGAACTAATGAACCTTCCAAAATGGGAAAGATGAAGTATTAGAGATCAAGAATGAGATGAGTAGTGAATGGCATGGCATTTTGGTTTCTGTCCAGGCAAATTATATATAGGTAAACAAAAATTGGTTACCATTTTTAAGGTTTCCTTCAAAGTTAATGCAATTTACAAGTCTATTGATTTAATACTAATTGATATATGAGATCATAAAATCACAAGCGACAAAAAGCAAAAAAGGAAAGAAATTAATATGAATTGATGCATATATATTTAGAATGTGGAACGGTGCCTTTATTAAAGAATCTAATTTGCAAGGCAAAAGATTTATTGTCATCAAGGGTAAAAATTACTTGTTTTTCTCAAACAAAAGGGTTTCAGACATTGTTGACAACGAGTCGGGTTAAATCGATTTTTTGCTCGACTCAAATCTAACTCGATTTTATATTCATAAAATTCGAAACCAAATTGACTTGAAATTTTTTTAAAATTTTTTATATTCAAACTTGACCTAATTCGACTTGAAATTAATAAAATATTATTTTTTAAAATATAATTATATAATTATATAAATATATATAAATAAATAATTAATTAATTAAAAATAATTTTTATATAATATCGGGTCGGATCAGATTTACCTAAAACCCTAACCCAACCCAACTCGAAATCCGATTTAAAAAAACAAAATCCTATGAGTTCGAGTTAGATCGAACCCATCAAAGACGAGTTAGACTGTTAATCTTATTTTTTATTTGTATTTAATTTCTAAAAAGTTTTATTAATTTTTCCCAAATTAACATTTCCTTTTCCTTAGTCATGTCATTAACATTCTTATGTATACTTCCTAGATATGTTTCTAATATTTATGAAAATTGAAAACATAAGTATGAGATATTGTTTAAATTATTATAACATATTCGTGATTAATTCGAACAATTTAAAGAAATGTTATTCATACAATAATTAATAAAAATTTTGTGGGTTTTTAACTGTCATTGCCAATGTTAATCAGAACATCTAGTAAATTAAATACGTAAAATATTATCAAACAATCGTATAATTTATTGATAAAATATTAATTTTATTTTAAGAATTAAAATTCAATCCTTTATCGTCTCTAACATAAGAATGTAAAACATTAATGAGACAATGAGTTAGTTCAGGCTAGCACCGACTAGATCATGATAATAAAACAAGCTGAGTCTTTAATGTCCATCCAAATTCGAATACCCAAGTACCAACCCAATTTATGGATAACAACTTGACTTCTATTTACTCTTTACTAATTACTACCATACCATATTCCAGATATTTTATGATACAATAGTAATAACTCTTGTCCTAAATTGTTTAAAGTTTTCAATTTGGTGAATGTAGCAGTGAGAAAAAAAAAATTAAGAAAATCGAAAATTGATTTAAAATTATAATGTTCGGTTTGATTTGGATTAATTTTTTTATTCAGTTTGATTTAAATTTGAACATTAAATATATTAAGTTTGGATTGGAAAATGAAAATAATCTAATCAAATTATATATTTTTATTTGTTTTTATATTTTTAAAATTTTTATAAAATAAAATAATTATTTTATATATAAATCTATTTAAACATGTTAAAAATTTTAAATCATATAAAAAAATTTCACAATTGATGAATCGAATCGAATTGATAAAATTTTATTCAAATTAAATCAATTTTAAAAAAATTTGATTTGAATTCTGATCAAATTTTAAAAATTTATAATATTATACATTATTCAAAAATTCGAATCGAATTTAATCCGATGCAAATTATTATGAAAACATTATCACCTTAAGTGAATATATGTTGACCTACTATTTCACCAAGCCTTGTTAAGAATTGCTTAGTTTTTAAACTTGTCCAGCGCTATACTCAAGTTGTGCCCTAAACAAAATTTTTGAGTTCAAACTCAGAGATATTATTTTATTAATAAACATATTATTTATTTAGTTTAATTTTAAAATATATTTAAATATATTAATATAAAATTTTTTATTATTTTTAATAATATTTTTAATATAATCAAGTCTAATAACGGATATACACAATTTGAATCCGAACTTGACATTTAAATATTTCAATTAAGTTCAGACCAGCCTAAATGTTTCTATAATTAGTAATACGATCAGGTTAATCGGATACACATACACACAGATTAAAGATTATATTTTTTATATTAGAAAAAAATTTGCATGTAATGCATTGTTTTTACCAAATAGCTAGGTTGTAATTTTTACATTGACATTTCTTAATTTCTAGACTTAACTTCCTTAAAAGTTGTTATAGTCACAGGAAAATTATATAAAATAAATTCATATTTTGATTAAAAATCAATAAATGGTAAGAATTTTATATCAGTTCAAACATAATTCTTGGCTTCTTGCATGTTAAATTAAATCAAAAAAAAAAAAAATCAGACTTACAAGCAAAAGCAAAAGCAAAAGCAAATCAGACTTGGACCTGGTTAAGCTCTTTCTCTCGGGCTTAATACATCAGCCCAACTACTATCTCTTCTTCCTCCTTTCTCTTATCGTTTAAACGTCCATTTGCTCCGGGTTATATGCAATTTAAGCGGCGCCGTTTAAGGCTAGAATAAACTTCTGCTTCTTGCAGTTCTCAAAATGGAAAAATGAGGGTAAATCCGCTTAACCCAAACCCTAATTCTTTTAATTAAATCTTTCATTAAACCCTAAAGTTTAATCCATGGGAATCTATGCCTCTTACATTGGGCACTATCCGATATTGGCTTATTTTTGCTGTGGCTGAAAATGAATCCATTGGTAATTGTGGGATTTTTATGAGCTAAATAAATACTTTACGGTCTTGCTTGATTCTTGTTATCTTTTATGGGGTTTGTGGCTTTGAATGGAATATGGGTTTCTTTTAGTTGCTGCCCCTTTTATTTTTCTTGGGATTTTGATAACAATTGTTGGGGTTTTGAATTGTTTAGCCTTTGTGTTGTATTGAAAAAAATCAATAAGTTGTCACTTGAAAGGGAATTATTTGGTTTCAATATGCAAGTGGAATGAGGATAGAAGTATCATCCAAGGAATATGTGGAGAAAGAACATAGATCAATGAGTATGAAAGTTTGCCTAATGGGAAAGCGAAATGGTATGATTTTGATTCATTGTGCTGACAAGTATTTGTTGGGAACCTGGGATAGTCTTTTGTTTGTGCTGAAGTTAGTTCTGTCCATTTTGTGGTGCCTGTGGGCTGTAGAGAAGATTGCATATCTTTGCAAGTGGATGCCACATTGCTTCTTCACTAGTACCCCTTACAAAGTTACGTTGTGCTCCACGTCCGAGATGGGACTCTGACATTTGTTGTTGGACTTGCTAGTGGCTGTTCTAAGTGGTGTACCCATGTATGCATTCATTAAGTATGCTGAGAAACCAGTCCTTTCTGGGGTAATGATCTTGAACTGCAATCCCATATTAATTTTGGAAAACAAGTGTAATGGTACATATCTTGTTTGATAATGAACTAAAACTAGATTCAATCTGGGGTTGTGACTATCTTATCCTTTTATAAGCACTTGTTTTATTCCTTTTGTTCAGTTAGTATGATACAGCACATGGCCAGAATTGTTCGCTGTAAAATCCTCATGAACTCCTCTCTCCTTGAATTATTTATGATCTTTACATGCAGAAAATGCTTGTGCCTTGTGGTCTGCCCCCTGAAAGAGAAGAGGATTGAGAACTGCTGGTTAGGTCATGACATGAAATGAAATGAAATGTTAGGAAGTGCATGCTCGGCCCTGGGAGTCTCTGCTAATTAGACTAAGATTATTAGGATTATTTTTTGTGTGAAAAAATTGTCTACTGCCTTTTGATGAGGATTAACTTTGGAAGCCTTGCTACTTGATTACTTTTATCTTTTCAATGAATCTTTATGTTCTATTTAATGCAACTTTTAGGTTGTATTCCCATTGACACTTTTCATTTTGGTGCTTAAAGAGCTAATTTTGGTGTACCCAAACCACCTTAAAATGAGCTAACTTCCAAGTACCAAGCCACTTTGTTTTTGGAAACACAATCTTTTTATCCCTAACTATTAGAAGGCAATAGTTATTATATAATTCCCAAGTGTATACATTCCTGTATGTCTTTACCACTTGAAATTTCCCTGTCAGGAAACTTTTGGTGGTTTGGAACTTGCAGCTTCAATAGAAAATGACAAGCAAATCATAAACTAGACCATGTGAAAAGTGAAGAATCAAAGGAGAATTTCCAAGAGGGTATGGTCAGCAAAATTGGTTAAGACATGTGATTTAGCTGAGAGTATTGAGAAGAGTAGCCATTTGGAGGGTATTATTATTGCATCAGAGTCAATAATCAAATGGCTATGGCCGGCCTTATATCAAAATCAGACATCAGCTAATCCACCTAATCAATTACTTATCACTGTTGTCCAAGTTTTCCAACTTTCATTATGATAAAAGTATCCAATGACATAAGAAACTTCAGTGGCTATGAGGTAGTGAAAGTATATCTTTATTGGCAATCACACTTTTTTCTTTAGAAAAGTGGTTTCAGCTTGGGATCTTTTATCCTTTAACTTTTGAAAACCATAGCAACCATTCAATGGCTTGATACCAATAGATACAATAATGCAAGAAGGCTAACCTTTGTCAACCTATAGATTCTTTCTAGTATAATTGGCTTTCGTAGATGACCAGTTAATTCGATGATATTGGAATTGGTTCCAAAAGTGTGGTGATGACTTGTTAATTCAGCGGTATTGGAATCGATTTTAAGATTGTGGTCAATTAAAAAACTAGAAGTCTCGAATTCAAACTCCAATTATAGCCAAAAAAAAAAAATTTATCTTAATCTTCAAGCAAACAAACCATTCAATCTTAATTCTTTCAATTTAGAAATAGTATCATGCTCAAATTGCTGGGAAGAGGGGCTGGAGTTAAAGTTGCTACACCCTCAAATCTAATCAAACTGCCTTGCATTAATTTTGTACTCTAACCCAATTGACAGGCACATTATTTCATTAAAAATATATGGCCCTTTGATAAGATTGTGGCCCAAACTCAATCTGGAATTAATTGTTCAAGATGCAACCAAGAGGGGGTAAAGAGATTGGTCTAATTTGGACCACACAACTTTTAACAAAATAAAAAATTTGATACCTAACAAGTAATTAATTTACTTGATAAAAATTAATTTTATTTAAATTTTAAATTAAAATTTTATTAATGATCGATTGTTAAATTATCTACTTTCAATTATTTATCTTGAACTATTAGGGCACATTTTGTTATGATATAATAGATTAAACCATCTATCTATATCATAGATTGTATAAGAAAAAAAGAAAAACAAAAGATTAGGTCAATTCAGCTACCAACCATATTTCATTTTGTGAATGAATGAAAGCTACATTGCATATTTTTTGACATGCAAATGTGCACCCCACTGACAAAAGCTGCCTTGGATTTTTAAGGCTAAAAATCAGTCCAAAATTCTACCTGTATGAACCTGTTTTGGCTTGTAGGCATTATTTTACTGACAGTCTCATCATCATTTTCACTCACACCACTCAAAAAAAAAAAAAGAAAAGAATATAATATTTAAAGTTGTCTGCTCTTACAAAGGTTGGGGATAGATGTGAAGATTGACAAGTTATCTCCCTTCCACCAGTATCCCTCTGCCAGGCTGCCTTGCCTGCTTTGCCATTGCTTTGCTTTGTCATTTGATATATTTCCTTCTTTGTTCAATACATTTCTTTTGAGGAAATTTCCAATAACAAACAATTAGTGATGATATAATGACAATAAAGCCTTGATGTAATCCTGGCAAACCCTAATCAACTGTTTTCCAATTTCAAAATTAAAAAAATATTTAATATATATAAATTTAATTTAATTGAATCTAACATTTAATTCAATTGATTTTTATAAAATATTTATTATTTTTGAAATTATAAGAAAGTATAAAATAAATTAATTTTATATTAATATAATTTAATCTCTTCTTTTATATATAATATATAATTTGAATATTAAATCTCAATTCTCTTTAAAAAAATAAAAATCCTTCAATAGTAAAAAAAACTAAAAAAAAAAAAAATTCAATTTGGTTAATTTTAAGGGTAACTTGTTAACTTTCTTTGCTTTGAAATCAAATGATAAGGACAAAATACATCTCAATATGTTTTGGAAGCAACATCTGAAATTTATTTGTGAAGAAATCAATAATGCTATCTTTTGTCTTAAAGGCCTTAACCATTTGTGAAAATGAGCTTTAAAGTTTAAACTATACATAATGCTACAAAATTATCATCAAAGCATTACACGACACTTATAAAATCAAAATCAATAGGATTAGTTTTTTTAATAATAATTTTTTTTATTAATTTGAAAATTTTAAATGTAATAAAAAATAAACAATTGCATCATTTAAAATTTTGATCAAAATTATATATTTTATATTTATTTATAAATTATGATGTAATAATTTAATATTATATATATATTTAATACAAAATAGAACATGTATGCATCAACTATTAAATTAATTAATAAAGCAAATAAGGTCATGAGATAGTAAAAGATGGCAAAAAAATAAAAATAAAAACAAAAAAAATCTACCTAATATCATCATCCAAGTTTCTCTTCCTCAATCATCCGTTTTTCTTTCTCTCTCTCATCCAAAATACCAAAGCCAAAGGAATTTTCCCGAGAAAATTAAATCCTGTCCTTAACCCAGATCCATAGATCATAACCCCAAATCCTTGCCGATAAATTCTTTCCTTTTAGATTCTTTTTCTCTTCGCTTTTTCTGGGGCAATCAAAATAGACCTTTTTTCTTAAATACTCGTAAGTTTTCATCTCTTAAAGAAAAAAAACCCCAACTTTTTCTCTGAATTTTCCTTACCTTGATAATGCAGCTTGATGATACTAAAACTCTTGTTTTGATTCACTGATTAATGGGTATTCCGTCGATTTTCAATCAAGTTTCTCCCTTTTTTTATCCCTTTAGTCACTAAAAGGGTTAACGGTTTTTTTTTTTCGGATTTTTGGAGGGTTTTATAAGGATTTTAGAGTCTGGGTTTTGATTTTGGAGCTGATGGATAAGAATTTTGATGGATCTAAGAGTTAGTTTAAAGAAAAGGGTTTTGAGTCCGTTTCTGTTTTGAAAGTCAATTTTTCGAAATTAATAAAGTGAAATACGAGGGGAGTTTTTTTTTTTTTTTTAAATTGTGATAAAGTTTAGTGTAAAAGTTGAGTAAGATTAGATCATGGAGCATATTATTGGTGGTAAATTCAAGCTTGGTCGAAAGATCGGGAGTGGATCGTTTGGTGAACTTTATTTAGGTATTATGATAATTAGTTTTTTTATTTTTTTCCTTTTTCTTATTTTTTTCTTTGCCACTGTTTTGTTGATATGGTGCTTTTGTTTTGCAGGCGTTAATGTACAAAGTGGAGAGGAAGTGGCTGTTAAGCTGGTAATTTTTGGCGTTTTACTGTTTTTTCCCCAACTTCAATTGGAGGCGGGGTGTATGCGTATGTGTACATGTGTTATTTTTGTTATTTTTATGTTCTTTTAGACTGTATTGGTTGATCACTATATATGTAAAAAAAATGATCCATTTAGCTGAGGATAATTGCAACTGTGTTTGATGTTATGCTGTGATGCATTTCTTTGTGTTTCATTGGATGCCTAGTACTTCAGATCATGCGTTTGCTTTTTTAGGGGGGTGGGGGGTGTAAATCAGTTCATTAGTTGATGTCTATATAAGTGCTACTATGGAGATGCTATATTTAATGTTTGTGGAGCTACCTCGTAAAAGGAGATGTGGTCGCACCTGGGATTTTTTAAACCCAAGTAGTTCCTTTATGCCATTGAAATGGAAGAAAATCGACTAGTGAGTTTGATAATAATAAGTTGCTATAAAGGCATTGCTGGAGAGTTTCTTTTTATGTTTACCTTTGTAACGAGGAAAAGGAATTAGGATAAGAATTTGTTTGACCGTGATTCATTTTGAGTATTCTTAGAGTTGGACCGTGTGATATTTGCTGCTAAAATGGGGATGGATCCTTCAATTATTCAAACTGATAGTTTTGGATGATCTGCTTAAGTGCTTGAAAATTTTCTCTAGAAGTTGAGTTGTGAGATTCTAGTTATACTTCTGTTGTTTCTTTTTCCATTCGATATTTTAATTGAATTTTGTAATCTTCCTGATGTTTAAGTTTTGAATCTGTTACTAATATGTACTCCCTTGTTTGCCCAGGAATCTGTCAAGACCAAGCATCCCCAACTTCACTATGAGTCAAAGCTGTACGTGTTTCTTCAAGGAGGGAGTAAGTTTTGTTTCTCTTGCTCTCACCCTCTCCTATGTGTCTTTTTATTTATTATGGCAAGTTGGAGTCTGTGAGTAGTTTTTCTTACTTTCTTTTATCTGTGCAGCTGGAATTCCTCATTTAAAATGGTTTGGAGTTGAGGGTGAATACAATGTCATGGTTATTGATCTTCTTGGGCCAAGCCTAGAAGATTTGTTCAACTATTGCAATCGGAAGTTTTCTTTAAAAACAGTTTTGATGCTTGCAGATCAGTTAGTAAGTATGCTACCGTTTTCAGGGAACTTTAATCTGGTGAGTTGGCTGCCTTACTAATACTTGTTCTTTTGTTGTTGGTTCAGATTAATAGAGTTGAGTATATGCACTCTCGTGGTTTTCTTCACCGTGACATAAAGCCCGACAACTTTTTGATGGGTTTAGGGCGTAAAGCAAATCAGGCATGTTCTTCTGTTTATTCCCTGCATGTATTTACCCATGCTTTTTGTGGATTTTTTAAATAGATGATAAGGCATGAGATCATGTTGATAAGATTTTCACACAATTTTATATTCCATTCAAAATATCATTATCTCTAGCAATAGTTCTCTTTTTCTCTTAACTGAAATTTAGCTTTACATAACTGTATCTTTCAACTCACTTCTTCAACAAGATATCCTAGTATGTGTTGTGTAATTCCATTGTTTCCCCCTTTTCACTGCAGGTATACATAATTGATTATGGCCTTGCAAAAAAGTATAGGGATCTTCAAACACATAAGCACATACCATACAGGTAACACTTTTTTTGTTTTTATTTGAAGAACTTGATATTTCCTCTTGCAGATTGTTCATCAATTGGCCCTGACTTAAATAACTCTAAGCTTGAAATAATTTTTCTGGTAATAGATTTAATGATCACGAGTTCTAATAGAAAGGCTATTTAGCTTAGCAGAAGAGGCAAATGGTTAAAATTTTCATTTGTTATGTTTGTAACTCATCAGCGTAAGGCATCCATTTTCGTTCCTCGACTTATAGTGCCCGATAAATAATTTGGTTTTGTGATTAACTATTTTGAGAAAATCACTTGACTCTGTGTTCAGCTTTAGTCATCAACTGCCAATTCTTCCAATAACGATAGCTCTTATGTTGCATGTATATTTCTCTAGTGAAATCATTTAATATGTGCCACACTGACCTCATATTGTACTGTATTTTCTTCTTTGTAAACCTTTTTCACTAGCCATGGGCACTTATTAAGTTATCCATTTTACCTATAGGGAAAACAAAAATCTTACAGGAACAGCTCGATATGCTAGTGTTAATACTCACCTTGGAGTTGGTGAGTTAACTTAGTGCATCTAATATTCATATGGGTTTTTCTTTCTGCGAACGCTACTGCATCTAATATTCATATGGGTTTTACAGAGCAAAGCAGGAGGGATGATCTAGAATCTCTTGGTTATGTGCTTATGTACTTCCTGAGGGGAAGGTTTGTTGAATACATAACCAGTTGCGTACTTCACAAACCTTTTAAAGGTTGAGTCACATTGTTAACTTAGTTTAATGTTCTCTGTCTCAGCCTTCCATGGCAGGGCTTGAAAGCTGGGACCAAAAAGCAGAAGTATGACAAGATTAGCGAAAAGAAGATGCTTACTCCCATAGAGGTATCGTTACATTTTTTTTTTGTTAATACCAAGGAATTCTCGTATGCAAATATTTGAGATTAGACAAGAATAAGTTGGTTAATCAGAAGTTGAATTGTTAAAGGTTTCCTGCTAGTTCTCTTCATGTTCAAGAAATTGAAGACTGAATGCATGTATGACAAGTAATATGCCATTTTCAGGTCCTTTGCAAGTCATATCCTTCTGAGTTCACATCGTACTTCCATTATTGTCGAGCATTGCGGTTTGAAGACAAACCAGATTATTCATACCTGAAAAGGCTGTTTCGGGACCTTTTTATTCGAGAAGGTTAACTTGTTATTCTATGTCTCATTGTTCAAATATTGCTAACCTTTTTAATTTGCCTAATTTTGAAAATTGAGTCAGTCTTCTCTTCAGTTCATTGTCATAAATTTGCCTGAGATTTTTTATCATGAAATCTGCTTGATTGAACTCCCAAAGTTATTGATTTTGACAACTAAATGATGCAGGTTATCAGTTTGACTATGTATTTGATTGGACTATGCTGAGATATCCACAGGTTGGCTATAGCTCAAGAGCACGGGTCAGTGATCTTTAACTTGCTGGCCTTGATGTTAATGGAAATACTAATTTTGTTTCTTCATTAAGGATTCTTATACCATGTTTCTGTCATTCCTCAACAGCCAAGCCCAAAACCAGGTGTAAATCCCCCAGGAGTATCTACTGAAAGAACAGAAAGGCCTTCAGGTCTGTTCCTTTTCACAGCATGGTTTGAGAATATATTCTGATAATTTAACTGGTGATAACTTTTTTATATAAATATTGTATTGGAGACACCTAACTTGCCCATGTTCTGACCATGATTTCCTTGAATTAGCTAACTTGCAATTCTTAGCACATATCTTTATTTTTTGTAGTTGGCCAAGAGATTCGAGAAAGGTTCTCTGGTGCTGTTGAGGCATTTGCAAGACGGAATGGCTCTGGGCATGGTTTGCCTGGTGATCAGTCTAGATACAGATCTTCAGATGATGTGCCATCATCGAAGGATGTGGTGAGCAACCTTACTTCTACATTTTTTTTGTACATTTCATCTATTGTTTTCCATTGAATTTCACTTTCTAGGAAATTGAAATTCAAATGCCTGGGCTACTTGCCACAGAAGTTATGATTTTCTTTTAAACTTTTCTCTACTTCAGCAACTTGATTCTGAAAGGGCTCACTCCTCCTCGAGAAATGGTAGTGCTTCAAAGAGGCCTGTCGTATCAGGCAGCCGACCTAGCTCCTCTGGTGAGCCTAGTGAGAACCGGTCTAGCAGATTGGTCTCAAGCGGTGGTCGCCTGTCAACAACTCAGAGAGTCCAACCTGGGTTTGAATCCAAATCATCATCTTTTACTCGTACATCAGCCACAAGGGGTGGTCGTGATGATACCTTTCGGAGCTTTGAGCTCTTGACAATAGGGGGTGGGAAAAGGAAATAAATGTCATATGCATCTGGTAGTAAGGATTTGCTTGCGTTGAGGGCACATAATCTCCGTATTCTAGTTTCTAAGGGAGAAGATCTCGGCACTATTAAGGTATTTACAAACAGTCACTCTTTTACATCTGTGTCCATTACTTGGTGTTCCATCCACAACAATTCCCGGAAGAAGTTTATCCTCAGGAAAACTTTTCGACTCAATTCCACTTGTCAGGTATTCTTGCCACTATGATGCCTCTAAACTCGTTAAAAGAAAGAGATAAATGATCTCACTTTAGGGAATTGTTCATATATTTCCAATATTCTAGCTGTAACAAACACTTGATGTTTCTTTCTTTCATCAGAAGCAAAAAAGAACTATGTCTAAAAAGTCTATTGTAGCAAAGACATTCTGGCTTTATGTCATCTGCTTACACATTGTGTTGCCATTATCTGTAACAATGAGATGGGTGCTGCACTGATTATAACATGGGCTACGGTAATCGCTGCTTTTGTCCAAAAGTGACAGAAGGTTTTGGTTTAGTACAGTTTATCATCATTTTGGTCACCATTAATGACTAAGCAGCCTAGCTTATAATCCCAAAGTAAAGGCGAATAGGGGATTGTTGTTGGTGATTGAAACCTCTTTTAATGGCATCAATAATCATAACTTTGGTGTTTTCCTTGGTGCCACATTAAAATTGTGGGGCACGACTGGCGGAGATTACGGCACCCCTTAAACAATTATGTATTATTTATCAAATTTTTTTAGATTAATTAATGAAAAGTGTTTAAATTATAATAAAATATGTAATGTGATATTTGAATTTTAAAAATTTTTAATATGATATTTAACTTATAAATTTGTTAATTAATTAGATATTCATTAGCAATATATGTAATTTCATATGATAAATTAATTATTTTTTAAAATATCATATTAATTAATAAATTCATAAATTATCACATTAAAAATTTTTAAAATTTAAATATTATATTATAATTTAAGGATTAAATTTAAAAAAAATAAATTGATGTTTAGTCGGAATGCTTTTGCAAGGTTGAGATTTACAATCTTAATCTTTGTAAATTTTTATTTTTAATTTCTTTAGGTCTTGATTTTCTTTGTATAAAAAATTTTGAAAAAATTCATTAAAAATTTTTCATCAAATAAAGGACAGCCATAAGATCAATCCATCAAATTTGGCGCCTAGTTTCCCCCTCATCTTAAATCTAAATCATTAAAACCTAAATATATGATCCAAAAAATTTGTTCTACTTTATTGATCTTACCAAAGCGTTGAACTTTAAAAATGCTTCATTAACTTTGAGGCACGTGTCAGATTTGACGTGGCTATGCCGCGTAAAAAGAAATAAAAGAAAGACAAGCTGCCGTTGCAAAAACCTCTTCTATCCCTTTTTCTTCCCTGTTTTCTCCGCTGAATTAAAAAAAAAAAAAAAACTCTTAAAAATTTTTCTATTTCAATTCCCAAAAATAGATTTAAAATTTTTTTTTTCTTTTCTATGGATTAAACTGGCTCAATTCAAACACGTCAAAATAAGAAAAACTTTTATCTTTTGTTCTCTTGATTGAAAGTGATGATCTAGGGTTTTCACGTTTCAGTTTTTATTATTATTCGAAAACCGAAATTTTGCTGTTTGGGAAGGGATTGAATTTGGGATAAAATTTCGAAACAGAATCATGGAAATGGAGGTGTTAGGTGACGTGGCATCTCTCGACCCTGATTTACTTCAGCTCCCTGAGCTCTCTCCCTTAGCTCTCAAATCCAATCCCTTTCTCGCTGAAGAGCTCTTCTCCATTTGGCTTTCCCTCCCTGAAACTGGTCGCCTGGTAAGGTTTTTACAATTAGTTATCAAATAATCTTCCTTTTGGCTATTTATGACCTTTTACTTTGTTATTGTTTAATTTAATTGAATTAGGTTAAGAATTTGCTTACCGATGCGAAAACGGGGACCTCTTCGATGAATGCCACGGGTAATTCAGGCGGTATCAATGTTTCTACAACCAATTTATTGCCGTCCATGTTTCCTTCTACGAGTACTCCTCCGCTATCGCCTCGTAGTACTTCGGGTTCCCCTCGTATTGTCAAACAGCGGTCTGGCCCTTCTTCTCTAGGTTCGCCTCTCAAAATAGTCAGTGAACCAGTCCGAGAAGTCATACCACAGGTATAAAGTAAACATAGCTGATAAATTTTGGAACTTTTTTAGTTGAATTAATAGTTTCTGATGACTGAACCCTAAAAAAATGTTGGTTTTTGCAGTTTTATTTTAAAAATGGTCGTCCACCTCCAAATGAATTGAAAGAGCAGTGCTTATTTGCGATTGATCAGCATTTTTATGGGCATTTGGGATTGCAAATTCCTGGTGAGGAAACATTTATGGTTTTTAGTGGGAATTGTTCTTTTTTTTTTTCGTGGGTTTTTGCTGGTGTTGTTAAATTTCTGTTTCTTGTGTGGCAGAATTTAAGGGGGTAACGAGAGACATTTGCAAGCTACCTTCATTTTTCTTCACCACATTGTTTAGAAAAATTGATGTCAACAGCAGTGGTATTGTGACAAGGTATTTCTCAGTGCACCTTTGAGTTTATAGTTTCATTATATGTGTAGTGGTATAATTTTGAAGATATCTGTGTAGGACTAGAGCCACTGATTCGTGGCTGGTAATAGATGAAGCATCTGCTACAAATAATGCTGTTAGCCAAAAGGTTTCTGTGGTGGTTGCCTCTGCAATCCCCATTTTTGTTAGGGATCCCTTGCTCCAGAATTAGAAATAGCCTGAAGTAGTGCTATATGATCCTTGATTATGTAGGCATCTATGTGGTTTGTATCTCTTTTTGGGTTAAGTAATTGGCTGTACATAAAAAAAGGCTGAGACTGTTATTTTATGGAAGGGTTGGATGGCAGTATTGGCCTAATTACTGGAAGTTCCCTGGATGGATTTATTGACTTTGTGCAGAAGCTTTGATAATGCGATGTCTGAAGAGAGGTGTAGAAATTGAGTATTTCATTGTACTCTTGGTTAGGGTTTAGGAGGGGTTACTTGTGGTGCTTACTTGTCTATGCTAAAAGAGCTTGAGTAGTTTTTGATGTTAAGGAACTATCTGATCCACTTGCAAACTCGCAAATCATATTATATTTATTCTTTAGGCCCTTGTTTTGCTATCTGAGATTTGATATTTGTCTACGAAACATAATCTGTTATGATTGAATTATGAAATGTAAGGTTACATTCTTTGATGGTTTAACATCTGTTTCTAAATTAAACAAATTATAATTAGGTCTGGACTTATGTACGCTGGAATGAATTTTAGGGATCAATTTGTCAATTATTGGATTGGAGGCAACATGTTAACAATGGATTTAGCAACCCAAATCTATACAATTCTTAAGCAACCTGATTGCAGATACCTTACTCAGGTATATTCAGCTTTCCTCAATGCATATTACTTGAACAACTCTAAGAGACAGGAAGGAAGGAAAGGATTATGCTTTTAAATAATGTGCATTCATGTGCCTTGTTAATACTAGTTGTTGAAGGGGAAAAATTGTGGTTGCAAAGTTAATAAGTTATATGCCTTGTTTTAGTAATTCGCACTGAATGCAGGATGATTTCAGACCCATTTTACGCGAACTTTTGGCATCTCATCCAGGACTGGAGTTTTTACAAAGCACCCCAGAATTTCAGGAAAGATATGGTATGACAGCAGCCATTTGAACTAATATCTTTGTCAATTCATTTCAAATTAGAATATTTGTTACTGTTGTCAAGAATCCACACTTCACACGTGTCAAACAGGCCGCAAACTCATCTGATAATTGGCTTACTGCATTTATTAGTTTGTATGTTAACATTTAGTAGTGACTAAATGTAATGGATTATTGCAAACATTTAATAGTGACTAAATGTCATTATTGCAATATTATTGTAGCAATTACCATAGCAATGGCCGTATTGCAATATTATTTAGCATACTGTAACCTGCTTCAAAAATAAATTATTAACTTTTAAATTTTTCTTGTGCTGTCAATGTTAAGTTCTGATTCTTGTGAGCTAGTAACTTGATATAGTACTGCTCTTATGTATTTTAACTTCTTTTGTTTGTAACAGCTGAAACTGTCATATATAGAATATTTTACTATATAAATAGATCAGGAACTGGTCGTCTTACCCTCCGGGAATTGAAGCGTGGGAACCTAATTGCTGCAATGCAGCATGTGGATGAAGAAGAAGACATTAACAAAGTTTTAAGGTAAATCAGTCTGTTGAATGCATGCAATTTTGGTGAAGTTTTATAATGATATTAATAGTGGTTTTTGATAACCTTTATTTCTTATTGAGCATTTTGGTTTTTGTTCTCTATAATTTGATGAATTAACATTTTATTTTAATCTTTTCTTCTTGCAGATACTTCTCTTATGAACACTTCTATGTAATATACTGCAAGTTTTGGGAGCTCGACAACGACCATGATTTTTTGATCGACAAAGAGAACCTTATCAGATATGGTAACCATGCTCTTACCTACCGGATTGTTGATAGAATTTTTTCTCAGGTTTGCATTTGTGTCATGCTATTTTCTATTATCTACATAAATCATTTCAGCTTTAAGTGGGAAGTTTTTCTTCTATATCAAAGAACAAAGAGAAAGAGAAAATCCTTTTGGTCTTTCAGGTTCCGAGAAAATTTAGAAGTAAGGTTGAGGGGAAAATGGGTTATGAAGATTTTGTGTACTTCATACTGTCGGAGGAGGATAAATCTTCAGAACCTGGTCTGGAGTACTGGTATATATCCTCATTTTCTTTAGTTGAAGCACATAAATACTTTCTTTGCTGATGATCTCTTAGTGGTTTAAATGTTAATACAATGATGCAAGTCCCCCAAGAAACTTTGGGATTATGTGTGGTTAACCTCTCTTATATCTGACGGGGCAATCATTAGAGTCAGAATCACTGAGTATTTTTGTTCTTCATAGTTCTGTAGAAGTGTTAATTTGTTGATTGCCTGGTCTTTTACTGTGATCCAAATTGTTGATAGTTTGTTTATGGATCCTTTTCAACCACTAAGATTTGATAGATCAATCAATGATAGATCTAGATGATACTAAGACTACCTTATATTCACTGATTTTTCCTGTGAATCACCCTCAGGAGAAACAAATTGAAAATCATTCTAAATCATTCTTCGCTTGACTGCTAGGTTGAGAAATTGTTTTTGATCTGATTCTGTGCTTGAAGAACTTAAAAGTTTGCAATGTTTTTATTTATCAGCATGAGGTTGTTTGATAAAATTTTGCCGCATTTTGTTACTAGCCCCATTTTGGGTATTATCAATAATGACTTTCACCTGACCAGCCGGTTTGTTTGATTCAGGTTTAAATGCATTGATTTGGATGGAAATGGGGCCCTCACACCAAATGAAATGCAATTTTTTTATGAGGAGCAGTTACATCGAATGGAGTGCATGGCCCAAGAACCAGTGATTTTTGAGGATGTATTATGCCAGATTGTTGACATGATTGGACCGGAGGTCACTCCTGGATTCTCTACTGATGACTCATCTGTCTTTTGACTGCATGTAGACATACATATATGCATACATGTGTATTTTTGCATGACCATTGCTAATTCATGATTGGTTGATTACAGCATGAAGGCTACATCACTCTACGTGACTTGAAAGGCTGCAAACTTTCTGGACATGTTTTCAACATTCTTTTCAATCTCAATAAGTTTATCGCTTTTGAAAGTCGTGATCCTTTTCTTATTCGTCAGGTAAATGCATGTTTAATTTGAAGTTTGACATCATTATGAGTAACTTTTTTTTCTTGAGGTGTTGATCATGAGATATATTTGTATTAGGAGCATGAAAATCCAACATCGACAGAGTGGGATCGCTTTGCACATAGAGAATATATTAGGCTTTCTATGGAAGAAGATGTTGAGGATGCTTCAAATGGAAGTGGAGATATTTGGGATGAATCATTCGAGGCTCCCTTTTGAAATTAGTTAGGTAAGTTCCTCATAGGTGCTGTTGTTGTAAACACATGCAATTGAAGTTGTTTTCTTTTGCGGTCCTTTATTATTATTATTATAAGTTTTATTTTGTGAAAAAGGATTCAGACGATGCATGGCAGTCTTGTTACTAAAATAATCTTTACGAATGATTATATATTTGAAGAAATTAGAGTGTCCTAAGCTTTGACAGTTTATGAGTCTATAACTGCTATCCCTTTAGCTTAATCTGTTGACGAAATTAGTTCTGGTTTTTGTGCTTTTTCAGAGGTCTACAAGAAATGGAGGTGTTTCCGTTAAAATCGAACTGGTTTTTGCTCACACCAGTGTTATTTTAACTCTGGTGGCACAATTGTATGCATATACACCTGCTGGCCATATTCAGACGGTAATTTTGAGTAGATGGGAATGTCAAGAGCTTTCTACTTGGAGCCTTTAGCTTAGAATACCAGATGCCTTGATTGTGTAGGGGACAGTTGCAGAATAGGGAAATTTTTACTGTCCATATAATCATAGTTCAGAATAATATGAAATGAAATCAAAATTTTGTTTGTAAAAAGTCGGTCCTGGTGTCCTCTTGTTGGTAAATCTCTATAAGTGTTTTACCCTTGTTTTCTTTTTGTTTGTATTGATACCAATATGTTCACGGTGATTCAATTTATGATGAAAAGAAACTGTTATTATTTGTAATAATTTGTTATTGAGATGCCTCCCTCTCAAGTCCTCTCGTCTTTCCATTCATCCCAACCATTATCTTGACATCCTTTGCTGTTTAGGTATCTAGCATTTGCCGGTAGCATCACACTCCTATTCAGAGAAGATTTGATACCCATTTTACTCCGGCTGGCACATTTAGTAAAGATGTATATACGAACTATATTGTCACTTGTCAGCTAGTTATCAGCTGCAGTATGTTGACATAATCATGTGCCTGATGATGCTTTGTGCAATGGCTTAATTGCATGTGGAACTCCAATCGGGTTTTTTATGCTTAAATGTCTATGGAACAAAATAATCCGACCAATTTTATGACTTACAGCTGAATGCATGAACCTCAGAACTTTTAAGCTCGAATAATTTATTTATAAAATAGCATTTGCATTTTGCATGAATAAGAGAAATGGGGATTTCATGATACAATCGAAGTACAGGGTTAGCTATTTTAATGTAATGCAAAATGGTACAACTCTTGTAAACCCAAGAACAAGTTAATAATAAATAATTACATGAAAAAACAACAATGGGTTATTGTACAAGAACTTCCTTCTGCTCCACATAATTTTGGGGTGGGGGGGGGGGGGGGGGGGAATACATAACAAATATGAAAGAATATTTACTTTCAGATATTATTTTACAAAAGAACAATCTCCTGAAGCTGACACAAGACTCAGAGCCAATTCCATACTCAAAACCATTTTGTTTTGGGGCCTTTGCCCCTAAAACTTTTCACTGAAAATTTGAAATGTAAGACGCAGCAAAACAAAAGCTATTCTCCGGGGAACGGTAAGATTTTAGCTTTGGATATCTCAGGCCATCTCTCGTCCCATAGCACGAGGATATTGAGGCAGGTCATTTTCTTGAACGATTCTCAGGGGCCTCTATTTGCGGAGGCAAGAGGTTTAAGAAGCTCCCTTGAACAGGTTGACTGGCAGCTGCTACCGACTCATCCTCTGCTAAATATAGACCCAGATTAACAACAGCAACCATCTCAAATAGTACTTGATATATGCCTTATTGACACTATATCAAAACTTGCTATGTGCCTAAATTAACGACTATTATATGCAGCAAAGCTGCTGAACAACACCTTATAGTAAATAAATATGCTAAACTGTAACCCAACGACTGGAGCACACCCACCAAAAGCATAACAATAGTGATAATATCTTACCAAAAAGGGATTTGATGGAGGGTCTCTTGGGTTTTGAGCTCTTCTTCCTCAATTCAGCTGCACAATGGAATAAATAAACCGGTCAAATACAATGATATTTGCTAGGTTGGAAATTTGCAGTGGATAAGTTCAAACTAACAAGAAGTGGAAGGAGAAGAGAGATCAATAAAGAAAAACATGTATCAATGATCTTCACAAAGATACATAAAGTATTTGAAAAGTACTGAGATAAACTACAGGCATGGAAAACAAAAGGGACAAAGGCACAAAAATATAAATCGAAGGAGGAAGCAAAATACCAATGCCAGGTAACTGATTATCATTTACAATTTCAAAGTTCTTGTACGTGTAACCCACAAAGTTTATATCCTTGGATGAAAGCATCTGCATCAAAGGAAAAAAATTAAGTAGAATCATCATTTATCAGCAATTACCCTTTATTATTAACCATTTGAAATAGGTTAGTTTCAATATTATTGTATATTCAAGACTAGAGATTATTATATCTGTTTCTTAGAAATTTTTTTATTGCACTTCCCTTTCAAGGTTGATTTCAATAATTTCTGAAACATACTGAAACACACTGAAATATAACATATATATTAAAGACAACAGACCGGTATGCTCCCCAGGATAAATTTTCACATTAAACTAGCTCTGGTATTTAAGGAAAAGGCAGATTTCCCAATTTGATGAAACATTAATATAGGTGCGATAAAAGAACCAACAGAAATCCCCAGATGAAAATTCCCCAAAATAAAAATGGTGCCGTTTAATTTCAAAAAGTTCAATAGAAATTTCTAGTAAACTTGGCTAGGAAACAGGCCAGTCCTTATGAATGGCAGCAGCAGGAATTTACAGTATATAAAATATTTTGTGAGGTAATAACTAGTCAAGTTCTTTAAGTTCAAAACATTTTAATTGAAAATATATGTATTTTTACTAACCTTTCTCCATGGACCTGATTTTGCTGCAGACGGAATTTGGTTGTCGGCCTAGTGCACGAAAGAAAGGAGAACAATGAGAATATTTCTAAACAGGTTATTGCATATTTAGATACAGTAACACTATTCTACCTCTTCAAACTTCTCAAAATTTTGTGTATCCAGCTCATCATTGACTTCAGGAATAAAAGCGGCTTTCGTTTGATATAACTTATCCCATTCAATACCTTTAAACCATGGGTGAGCCTGAAGATAACAGATACAGCCAGTTAATTTAAAAATTTGCATTCTATTTTAAAACAGAATCAAAGAATCTAAAACAGAACACACCACATAACACAACACCTTAATTTCATTAGCGCCTTTTGTTCCAAGCCTCCGCTCAACATTACATAAAAGTTTACTGATGAGATCTTTTGCTTCCGGGGATAGTTTTGCTTCTTCTGGAAACTTTAAATGTGTTCTCCAATTTACTATCTGGAAAATGTAGGAAAAAGGACAATACTTAATCGTTGCTAACAAAGAAGACAAGTACAAGTTGTGATATAGAAGCTAATAACAAACAGTGTTCAGATGTAAAGACAGACAAAAATATAGATAATAGCACAAATCATGACAGCATAATAACATAATGGTAAAAAATTACCTTCCGACAGGTTGACATCGGCTCATCCGAATAAAAGGGTGGATATCCAACAAGCATTTCATACATGATAGCACCAAGAGACCACCTTAAAAAGCATCCAAAAACTAACATTATAAGATATCTCAAAAAATACAAATTACAAATAAAAAAAACCATGTTTAGTAATACAAACCAATCACATTCCATTCCATATCCTTTCTTCAGCAAAACCTCTGGAGCAATATAGTCAGGTGTACCAACCGTAGAATATGCCTGAAATATTACAATATTTCAATGTTTGAGTAACATTAATTTGCAATTTCAGTAAAAAACAGAAGAAAGATTTCCAAAATAAACTTAGCAGGAAAAAGAGATGAGCTTGTGGTCTTTCTAGAATATCTAGGGCAACTGACAGATGTAGAATATAAGCCTTGTAAACTCTGAAAAAATAAACCAATGCCAGAACTATGGAAAATGAAGGAGAAAGAAGTCAAGAACTTTCTTGTTTCGTAAACCCAATAGTATGACAATAATAACAATAACTAATCACTAATGTTGCATATTACATTGTAGAGTACTTACAAGCATCCTTCTGTTCCTCTGCCAGTGCTGCAACTGCTCTTGTTGTGTGCGTTTTGGTGCTGCAGGTCGTCCATCACTTTGAAGAGCCCCACTGAGATTGTTTGCCATAGAAAAATCCTTTTCCTGAAGATTACTGCAATCTAATGGTTTACATAAACCAAAATCTGATAACTTCATATGACCATTTCTATCAAGTAGCAGGTTGTCAGGCTTGATGTCTCTGCAACATGTGATATAGAATGGGTTCACCCCTTAGCACAAACTCAGGAAGGCCATAATATAAAAGTGTACAAAGGTTTAATGTGACATCAACTCACCTATGAATATAGTTATGTTTGTGAATAGATTCAATCGCCAGGACAGTTTCTCCAACATAAAACCTGGCCTCATCCTCAGTTAGTGTATCCTTCCGCATCAATAAAGTCATCATATCTCCCCCAGGTAAATATTCCATAATGAGATATAGATACTCTTCATCTTGAAAAGAGCAATATAATTTGACAATACAATTACTATCAACCTCTGCAAGTAGATTTCTCTCAGCTTTCACATGTTCAACCTGACCAATAAAAATGCAAACTAACAAATTAGCATCATGGCTAAAAACACATTAAGGAAAATATATAGCAGGCTTAAAATTACGTACCTGGCCTCTACGAAGCATCTCTGACTTCTTAAGCTTCTTCATAGCATAAACATGACCAGTTGCTTTCTCCCTGCAGACTCTAACCTGTGATGAGAAAAATGGAAGTTGAAAGTAATTATGGCAAAGTTCCTTCTTTAAGGGGGGGGGGGGGGGGGGGGGGAGTGAAAGACAGTCAATAAAAAAGAGATCAAGATTTTCAGGAGGTGAAAAATAAACCCAAGTACAAATGTGAATCACAGGAGAGAGGTAAAACTACAGCCAAAATTTTCAGAAACATTAGCAACTAACAAATCAGGCAGCTAAAGCAGTATAAATGTAGAAGCCTGTCCATATATAAGTTTCCTAGATGCATCGTCTCAGGAAAACAAAGTTCTGATGGCAGACACAATAATTTTTATAAGAGATTTTAGCACCATGAATCTAGTGGTATTCATAGCTCCTAATTTTTTTAATTTTTATTTTGGCAAGTAGATTAAAGGAAGGCCAGAAACAGAAGTAAAAGAAGAGCATAAGTTATGATGTACAATATGATGAAGACATAATTACCTCTCCAAATGCACCCTTGCCTATCATGGTCAATGGCTCAAAATCATCAGCACCCATCTTATGCCTCTGAAGACGCATGTATTCTGTCTCCTTCTTCTCCAAATACTTTAGTAAGTTGTTTTGTTCTTCTTCAGATACTTCAGCATCAGCCAACTTCTTTTCTAGAATATCACGTCTGCATAAAATCATAATTACACAAAAACCATCATCCCTATTCTTCAAAACAAAACTACCATAACTTTCCCAGCGTGCCTCCGATCATAAAGACATTTTATCATGTTATATTCTTGCAGACGATACAGGATGCAATGACAGAATCACGTTTTTTGAATAAAGTTTTGAACCAAAACCTGCTAGTAAGCATCTCGATATGAGACAATTCTGCCACATTGTCAGTCCATAATATAGAGCAAAGTTACGTTGCTTGCAACATTATAGTTATGTGACATAACAGTAACTATTACACAGGGAAATTTCCATTAGAGGAATAGTTTTTAAATCATACCGCTCCTTTCTTTCCTGCAGGCTTTTCATCTGCTTCTTGTAATGGTTTTCAATATACTGCTTTGCAGCTGCTACCCGCTGTTTGGTGACATTTGATGGTGCCTCTTCACTTGTTGCTGGTTTAGACACCTCCTTTGCATTACCTGCCCCTTCTTTCTTCTTTGAAGGCCTTAGCTTATCTTTTAATTTCAACATATTGAACCAACACCTTGCAGTTTCCATTGTTTTATTGGATAAATACAACCCTTCTGAACCCACGCTCCTAAATGTACATTTTAGCTCAGAATTAGTGAGGAATACATTAGTTATTGACTATCTTATTCTCATCAGACAAAAATCTTGCTGACTTTAGCACATCACTGTTTACCAAAACATCCAACCAATACATTCTGCAATGAACAAGAGCGAAATAAGAGTACATTAGCTTAAAATGAGGGTAATATTTCAGAAACAGACAAAAGGAAAACCAAGTAACTTTTAAAACACAATTTTAGGTTGATATCAGCTGTCAAAGGATATGACAAACAAACACAAATCAGATAATCAGAAACTCATAATTCAACGGAGGTGAGCAATGTATCACCAAAAAAAAATTCAATTAATATGTTCGCTTAATTAGTTGCAACACGCTAGCATTAGCCAAATAAGGTATACACAATTAGACGCACTTTTGCACAAGTCTCACCAACCAACATGGTTTTTCCTACATTTCCAGCAACCAAACAAGAAACTAGACCTCAACTCAGAACCCAAATCCCAACTAAGAACAATGCAAAGGAAAACAAGTGGTTCCACCAAAAGCAGTGTTCCATTCATTCAAAGTGACCAATCCAAAACACCTATAGAATAAAAAATATATATTAATATCCCAACACTTTATCATCAATTCAAAAGAAAAAATTAAATGAAGCTGTGATCCTTACCTAACAAAACAAACTTTAACAAAAAAAAAAAAAAAAAAAACTAATTGCAAACAATTTAAAGTCAGCATTAAGTAAGTCAATAAAATTCAAAGCAATTCAACTCAGATATTTTCGGAAAAGAGCTAAGAATGCATAACATTAAAAAAACTCCAGCTTTTTGCTACATTTTCTCACCAGCCAAACAGAACACTAAAAATCTGATACTAAAGGAAATCTAAGAACCGAAAATCACATATCAAAGAATCAAACGCTATAATTCAAAAGGCAAAAAGATCTAAAACACTGAACTTCCCAACAGTAAAAAAAAATCATTTTCAATCGTCCAACGTTTTCGCACCAACCAAACAGAAAGAGTCAAATCCAAATCTCAACTCAATCTCAGAGCTAAAACTAATAACTCCCAAAAAAAAAAAAAAAAAACCAAAATCCCTCAAAATTGAAAAAAAAAAGCAATTATAGTAATTAAACTGAACGAACCATTAGAAACTATACGGATGGATTTCTGGAGAGTTCGATTGTGAACAAAAGAGAGAACGGCAGCGTATGAATTGTAAAGAGAAGAGTGAGGAAATCCCTAAAGGGAAAGAGGAAGCGAAGAGAAGAGAAGATTGAGGCGAAGATGAAGAAATTGCAGTCCCATTGGTTTGGATTTTAGGCTCTTGGAAAGTTGGAAGCTTTGCCTTATGCGTTTGCCTTTGCCTTTGCCTTTGCTTTCCATATTTATATTTCCGCGTCTTAAAATTAGAAGTCTTCTAAGACTACCTCAGTTCTGTTCTGTTCTTTCTGTAATTCTTTCTTAGTTTTTTTTTTTTTTTTAGTTTTATCTGTTTGAATTATTTAGGTATATATTATGGTTAATAAATTTAATTAATTTTTAAATGAAATTGATTAAGTTTGCTCTCGGACCATGTGGGACCCTATACTTTAGTGATTGCAATTTGTCAAAAAAGTATTGACAATGGACAATTAATGAGAGAGATTGAGATACAAGGTGTATTTAACATTAAAATTTACCATTATATGGTCTTTTTTTTTTTTAATTTACTGAAAATTTTATTATACTTTCAATATTATTTATCCAACAAAACATTTTGAAGTATTGATTCTTAATTTCAATAATAAAAAAAATTTCTTTTAAAATTTTTTATAATATGATCCAAAATATCTTTAATTTTTGTTTCAATTTAATTTTTTTAGACTATTTTTAAAATGTATTATTTAACATAGGCCTAATATTTTCAAATTTTGTTTTCAAAATGCTTTTTAAAAATATTAAATCTTGATTGACAAAAACAAAACTCCTCTTTTTTATATTTCTAAAATATTTATATTTATGAAATTTATTAAAGAACTAAGGAATTTTAGGGATGTGGGGTTGACAAATTGGTAGTGATTAAAATTCAAAGAAAGTTAAAGTAAAATAGGTAATTTGATAAAATAATAATAATAATAATAATAATAATAATAATAATAATAATAATAAAAGATCATGGGAACATATGGAGATATGAGCTGGACCACTCGGAAATAATTAGTTTAGAGAACTGTCAATAATAATTGCCTAAATAATAATTTTCTTTTTTTTTTTTTTGGGTTGAAAAGCACAGTCAAAGCCCGGATGTCCGCCGTAAACACTGCGGCCATGCTTGAGACGAGTTCCACGCCCTATGTCCTAACCAGTTGTCGGAGGCACCGGATCCCACCTCAGCACCCTCTTTTTCCATTAGAGGGAACTTAATATTAACGGCACATGGCAGTTACAAATTGGTATAACAATCCGCTGAAATCACAACACGTGTTGCTAACATTTTAAAGATAAATTTATATAACGCAGTATCCCTCATTCTTATGCTTTACCATGATTTTGACAAATAGTATTCTTTAATAATAATAATAAAAAAAACCTCTAAATTTTGGATATTGATGGTACAAAAAATTTTTAGATATAATTTTTTTGTATTTGGAGTGAGATTGAATCTTAATTATTGAAATTAAAATTTTAAAATTTTATTAATTTATTATATATTTATTTATTTTGATAAATTTTTTTTATCAGTGAAATTGAAATTTTTTATGTATGCATCTTAATTTGAAAGTTAAAATATCTTATTTATTTTGAAAATAAATTAAAGACATTAAATTTACTCTTTCTTTATAAAAATTTTTTTAATCTAAAATTTTTTGATATCTGATAATTATTTTAAATTTTAATTATTTTAAAATCAAACGAATTCAAATCTCATAAAAAAAAAAAAAAAAACTCTTTTAACACTTATTTTTTCCATCCAATATCGTCATGGAAAAAGAATGAACACGCGTAGGGAGATAGCTACTATTTCACGCGTTATCTCTTTCTTTTTTTCTTTATCTTTATTGTTTTAATCATTTTATCATCGCTTTGACTTAAATGCATAACTTTAAAAAAAAAATTACTTATGCATTTCGCTTTTTTTACATTAATAATGAAATTTGTTTTAATTTTTAGAGTAACATTAAGATTCTATCACAGGCTAATTTTTTATTTTTAACATTTTTTAAAAAAATATGTGTCATTTTAATTGTAAAGTCTAAAATCTTTATTTAAAATGTAAAAAATAATTTTTTATTATTAAAAATATTATTTTATATATTATAAGAAAATTTTTTAAATTTTACTAATAACAGTGTGATCTATTAATAAAATGTTAAATTTTTAGTTTTAATTTAATTTCTGTCAATATGAAAAGTTTTTAAATTTTGAATTAAAATATTATTACATATTTATTTAGTTATTATCATATTAATTTATTAAATTTTTAAACATACTAAATAAAGCTCATCCAATTATAATTATAACGGTGGTGTTTGCTGGAGCACATCCAATTATATAATGAAAAGACCCTATAAAAAAGTACAGATTAGATGATGCTTACACTCAACTAAATAATGACGTAACCTATCACTTTCAAGCCAAATTTAATTTATTTTCCATTCTTTTATTATTAAAAAAAAAGCCTTTTGAAAGAACTAAGTGAAAACTATTTATGAATACACATTAATAAAAATTTGTTTTATTTAGAAGTTTATATTTAATTAGTTGTCAATATATAAATTTTATATATTATCAATAAATTAAATAAAATTATTTTACAAAATAAATATATAAAAAATAATATATTTTTTAAACAATATTTATTAATTAAATTATATCATATGATTTATTTTATTAATAAAATAAAATAATTTAATTTAGTAACAATACATAAAATTTATAAATTGATAATATATTAAATATAAATTATTTATTTATTTAGAGTTTGTTTTTAATACATAAATTTTAAAATTTTTTAACTTTACAAATGAACTTAAAAGATTATCATAATTTTTATTTTTAATATATTTTAAAAGATATATGTGATTTTATTAATTTGATCTAAAAACTCAATTGACAATGTCAATAAGTGATATAATTTTTTATTTATTTAATTATCATAAGAATAAAAATATATATATATATTTTTAGTCATTCAAAGAGGATAAAACCCTACGTAAGGAGAAAAATAAAAGGTTGGGGTTTGAACTTCAATTTTTATATCTTTTTAAAAATTATCTTATTTATTAAATCAAGCAGCTGAAGATAAATAAAAAATTATTATAATTAATACTTTAGTGATTATATTTAATAATCAAATATAAAAGAATGTTTGCTTTTGATAACTTTTACTAGCTGTTTTGATTTTTTTTTTTTTTCAAGAAAGTCAAGGTTGTTTTTAACTTTATGAAAAACAACTTTGACTTTTTTATTATTTATTGCCTTTAAAGTTTTAATTAATATCATATTATTGTATGCAAAGCTAAGTCATTTAGGATGGGAAATTTGCAAGCAATCCCAAATGGTAGCCATCCAAGAAAAGCTCTAGAATTCATTTACATTTTCTCTCTTTCCTTTCATGTCCAAAATGTCCTAAAAACTAAGGCATTATCATAGGAATTATTCCAATGAGTCCATGGTATAGAAAGAAAGAGATTTTCTTTTTTTTTTTTTTTTGGTTGTAATTTCACTAGAGTATATGAGGTTTTAACTAGGCTTACATCAAATTTTGATTAAAGCCAATGGCCCCATATGGTTTAATTTAACAGTAAAGGGATTGATTTTGGCATGAACCATAGGCATATAGATTATAAATAATGAATTCCATTTTTCTTTTATAAATATTTGAATTCAAGCAATGTTTATATCTTTGGAAAATATTCATGGTTGGTTTGCCATCGATTTAAATGACATATGGCTATTTTTTTCTTTTATAAAAGAAGTTATATATAATTTGAGAAAAAAAAAAAGATTGTGGGTTTTAAGATTTTAAATTTCAAATTTACAAATGATTATATGAATTATTTAAATTAAAATTTGAAATCGACTCGATAGTTAATATGATAAAATTGGGTTTATTTATTCATCTTTTCTTAAAGAAAAGCACACAAATTGATGAATTATCTTTGCTAGAATTTCTTTGCTTTCCTCGAAATGAATCAATAAACTCTTCTAAAAGCAATGGGGCAATGGCAACTTGATCAGCAATGAGACTAATGTGGATTGCCTTGGAAGTAGGGCATCGTATTGGGGGACCATATGATTTTAAGCAGTTTGGATAAGCACCAGCTCCAAAATAAAGAGGAAAAGGTTTTATATTTATGTGAAAGCCATATAAACATTAAAATGTGCGATTGAGTTTTTACCGTAAAATGAATTCAAACATCAATTTTAATAAAATTCATTTAGTATAAAATTTTTATTAATTTTTTTTCCATTGCAGCTATAATATTTTTTTTCAATTATAATTATAATAATTTTTATTATTATTTTCAATCTCACAAGAATCAATGTTATCACCCATTGAAATGAACCATACGTTTGTCACAATGTCCCACCAGATTACCTTATTTGTACATCATAAAATCATTAAAATGTCATTTGTTTTCCACCTTCATGTTCAGGTCATTTTATTTGCTTCAAATTAAACTAACCACCAATGACCATTAATCTTGATGTTTAGCATTTGATGAAGTAGCTAGGTTTCCTTTTCATCCATGTATATCAAAAGCCTAATGAAAGATTAGAAAATTGAACCCACCATTCTTTTTCTTTACCTTTTTATTCAAAGATGAAAAATTTTGAATCCAACTCTTTAAGAGGAAAAGACATGTCTTAACCATTAAACTGAATATTGTAGCTTACATTAAAATTTATTATTATGTGTGTCTTGTAGACTATAAGGCATTTTTAAAAGAAAAATCATAAATATGTATTTATATTTCACTTTTAGACAAGGTTGAGAGAAAAATGCGAGTTTAATCCTATATGAAGACGGTAACAGAATGGATATCATTTTTTTTTTTGTATTCGTATATGAATTTATTTAATATTCATGATATTTAAATTTGTTTAAATTTAGTATAGTTACACGAATTTAAATCTGTTTAAATAAGTATTATCTATTTAAATATTTAAATTTGTTAAAATATCATATTACTGAAATTTTTTATCAAAATATAAAATAAACAAAAATTAAATTTAAAATTCAAATTCACTTTTAATTAATAATAAATAAAAGTTATTTGTTAAGATTTAAAACTTTTCATAAGTATAAAAATTTACATATTTTATATATGTAAACGAATAATAAATTCGGATATTTATTATTATTTATTAAAATTTAAATATTGAATATTTAAAAATACTATCTAAATCTATTTCAAATAGTAAAACTACAAATCGAAGCAATTAATTATCCATTTATATACATATATATATATATATATATATATAAATCCGATATAATCTAATAGGATAATACTAAATATCTAATTATTTACTATCAATTATCATCTGTAATCTTATACATTTACCTTCTCATGAATATTATTGTAGAAAAACCTACGTTGAAACGTTTATTATGCCATTAGTGCTGCTACGTTTTCAAACCCATTTTCTGTGAGAGTAGAACACTAGAGACACCGGTACATTTTTTTCTTGATTCAAGTCCTAATGTGAAAACTTTTTGTCTTTGACTTCGTGAATCATGTGTATCTGATCTTGCAAAACTAACCAACATTAATGTGTCGAGTACTGAGACTTCAAATATTGCCTGCATTCTAGACATAAAACTCAATAGCTTAACAAGTGGCAAGAAAACAAGAGGGACACAGGAACAATGGGCAGCTCTTGGTTTGTGATATTTCTGATTTATATTTAGACATTTGGCAAAGAAGATAAAAAACATTACATTGGGCCCTGGGGAACAAGAAAACAAAAAGGTAGAACAAGAGAAAGAACAATTAGTTATTACAGTCATGGAGATCATAAAGGATCCTGCATTGTCCCCATTCAAAGGGAAAAATTCAAGTCAACTAGCATGATAGGTGCTGCCATAGATGAGGCTGTTGGGGGTTCGGAAACAGGGTTAAGAAACAAGAAACCATAGCCAATGGGAACTGACAAAGGGATTGGGAACTTGCAGGAGATATTGGGAGGCAATGGCAATAGCAATTGGCAAGGGAACATATCCCCACTTCTTACAGTAGGAGAATTAGGACAATGCATGTGCTTGTGGCTTCAATGTATTTATGAAACATTATGGACATCTTGGTTTACTTGACAATTATAATTAGAGAAGGCAGTAATGGGTAAACTCTAACTCCCTTATTTATGTAAACTACCAAGATCCACTTGACTGGTGTTTGTACAAAAATCCTGTTTTTACTAATCCATTTGCTTGCAGGCCTGTAAAACAATTACTTTGATATAGGAAGGATGAAACAAAGAGAGGAATAATTGAAATAAACAATACCATATATGATTATGAATCCCCATTAATAGATTAAAAAATTTTCATTTATTTTCATTTCCATCTTTTCCACCAAACAAAACTTATGACATTACAAGTTATTGTCTGAAATTTTGAAAAATGGACTGATTTGTTAAGTCAATTGTGAGTGCCTTATTGTCTGAAAATTTGAAAAATGGGTTGATTTGTTAAGTCAATTATGAATGGATGAAAACATTGGCATTCATGTCATGTATTGGAAAATTTAGGGAGAATTCATGGAATTCTAAGCTAGCGAATATGAACAATAGTTTCAGTGCTTCAATTTTAAGAAAATATATAAATGAGTATATGATTTAAAAATATTTACAAATCTGTATTTAAACTTTCATATTGTGTAATATTTTAATCCTTAAATTAACGCCGTTAATTGATTATAATAAAAAACTTTTAAATATATAAAAAACTATCATTAACCTGTCAATGAACTTGGTGAAGCTTCCTCCCTTTGGCATTTTTTGTTTAATAACTTTGTGTTTTCCCTTTTCTCGGGCGGAAAAGGAGGGATTGCTAGCATTTTCCAGGCTGTCCAATAGGAAAAAAAAGGAACCAAAAAACAAGGCAAAAGAGACGCGTAGAAGTACAGTTTTAGAGGAAAAACATCCAGAGAAAAAGAGTAATGTTGACAGTCATACTTGTCATTTGTCAATGTCCCCACTCAAGAAAATTAATGTACTAATAACACGTCAAATGGGTCAATGAAAGATTTTAAGGGGCACATGGAAAACACTCGGATTCACGACTTCCGACATTTTATTGATAGACGATACGTAAATATAAAAAAAATTTATAAAATTTATAAAAATCAAAATTTTATTTTAATTTTAAAAATGAAATAATCTTTCTTACTTTTAAATTTTTTTTAACAAAAACTAAAATTTACTAATGACATGCTATCAACTGCCAGTAAGCAAACAGCTGGTGATAAATTCACGAAGCACAAAAATTATGAATGTCCTATTTGACTCCTTTCATATATAAACAAAAGCAAAGAGATTGGATAAGAAGAATAATCACTCATGGAAAAAATTTGGACTTTAAAAGCCACAATGTATATGCACTTCAGCATTGCATATTTTGTGTATTTGGTTATTAGTCATTAGCTGAAGTAGCTTTGGACAACACCAAAATAGAGGGAAAATTTTTTTTCAAGAATAGCCTATAGAGATGGTGACCAGTTTATGGCTTATCAAGTAATTCATTACAAGAAAAAAAGGGTAAAAAAAATTATGTGAGCTATTGCAGGCATTGCTTAATGCTACAAAATGAAATTGTTTACTGCATCAGTAATGGGAGAGCTTCTTAAGCCCTTGCAGCTGCAGAAGGATATAAGGAGAGAAAGGCGAAATCGTAAGGCTGAAGTTTCTATTCAGAATTCCTGAGGCTTTCACTTGTCAGCCACTTCTTTCGGATGATAAACACAATGTCATCCCCTTCATGGTCTGCATCTGAACTGGAATCAGCTGTTGCTACTGCTTCCCAGTGTAAAGCTGATAAGTACTTCCTTATGAAATCTATCACCGGCTGCTTGTCCCGAATGATTACGAAACCACTGGGACGGAGAATGCGATCCATCTCAAGTAACAAATCCTCAGCACTGCAGCCTTTCTTCTCAATATCAGAAAAGACAGTCCAAGCATGGAGTAAATCATAAGTTCGAGGGTATGTGGAAAAGGCTTCACACCTGCCAAAATGATTAGTCCAAATTAATACAAATTTTACATTCTATCTTCAACATGCATTTCACTATTCAACCGAGCCATAAGGAAAAGATCTTTATGAGATAGATATGGAGAAGCATCATTCTAATTTTTCTTAAAAAAAGGCAGACAGGTGGATCAATTTATTAAGAATATGGGAAAAAATCCATAGCTGTGTGTTGTTAAAGTTTCCGTTTCACCAGAGACACCTTGTGGTCCTTTCACTGATAATAATTTCTCTCCCTCTCTACCTCATCCTAAAGAGACCAATAGTTGTGTATATAGTTGTCTAGTATGCACGCAGTAACAGCAAGCAAAGTACAACATTATGGCCTTTAACAGCAAAAAGAAAAATAAGTTGCATATTTCACACTTAATTATGCAGATTTTCCAAGGTAATTTGTGCATATACCAGTTATGAGTAGTGCCAATCAGACCCCTGTCATATATCAGCTTAAGTGTGTTTGGTCCATCCTCTGGGACAACATTCATCACCCAAACATTCTTGCCTTTAAGAGCAGCTGCAAACGATCCCATGTTCGCTTTCATGTCCATCAAATTTCTCAAAGTGTCTGCCTCAATCTTTGGACTCAAGAGATTCCAATAACTCTCTACCCGCCGGCGCCATGTTTCCTATGGAATAGCAAAAGCTATATTAGTGTTCATACTCTATTTCATTGTTGCATAAATCACAATATAAGCACAAAAAAAAAAAAACCACAAATAAAGTTTTAGGTGGAACAATGCTGCCTTAATTACCGTGTCTTTTTCAAACATTTCGCTTGTATAACCAAAATCGGCAAGCCTGGGAGGAGGAGATGTCAATCTGGCTGGCCATGGAGCCAATCCACTCCCCTTGGCTTTCTGGTCATCTAATAGAAACAAAGAGAAGTTTTAGTTGAGATAAATTTTAAAGTTCCAACATTTTAAAGCCATCAACTAAAAGAATCTCTATAATTTTCCATTGTAAAATATGGCATAGCTTCTAGCAAAATGTAATTGAGCAACAATTATATACCATAACTAGCAAATATTCAGAAAGAATAAATGAGCAGAAGGAATGCACTAGATACAACATACTCAAGCAGAAGAAAAACAATTCAAAGAAAATGCAAGCAGAAGACCTCTAATTCCCAAATTACTATACAATATCTCTTTTATTTGGTAAGATTCCTGCCCATACTTCTCTCTTTACCCCCCTAAGCTAAAAGCCATCAAGTTTACTGCTAAGAAACTCAACTACATGAAGAATACATCAAGATTTCAACCCATCAGAATTTGATGTGATGTCATAAAACAAGCCATTTCATGTTTGTTAAAATACATAACCAACATATCAGTGGGAGAATGAGATAGAAAACTATCAGCTGACCAATTTATCAATTCAGAAATAAAATCTATGGATGAAAATGCTGTAATATAAAGTGCAAAACTCAACTTCCAAATCAATAAGAAACAAAGTTCAAGAAGACAATGGTCAAGAAATATTATATGAAAAGTTAAATCAAAATATCAGCATCCTCCAAAAGAAAATAATAATAAATAAAATGGGAAGAAAATATTAACTAAGGAGGGGTAAAAAGACTTTAATACTAGTGACATTGAAAAATAAATAAACTCACGGTCAGAATAAGGAGTGATGCAAGCTTCCATTGACACACCCCAAACTGCATCTGGGTCACCATCAGAGCGGCAGAGGGGGGGATTTGTACCGGGTTCTCTTTTCATATAACAATCATTTGTTAAAGGTTTTTGCCAAACGGCAGTTTGGTTCCTCTTTGCAGCTATTCTCCAACACATACGTCCCACAAGGGCACTCATCTCTCTCCATATCCGGAGATCCTCTTCATCTTGTGCATAAGCTTCTGGAGATGAGTAGGCAAAATAGCCTCCAGGTCTAAGTAACCGGTCTAACTCAAGAAGAAGAATACCATCCCTTTGAAGCCAATCAATCCTACAGCGAGAACAGTGAGCAAGTTCAAATGATCTGCTTGGGTAAGGGAGCCTTTTGGTCCCTAGAACACCAAGATATGCGGGAATTCCTCTTTCCAGGGCAAATTGGATTTGGTTTTGATGCACATCATTGGGTGCTAATGACACTGCTATAATATCAGAAGAAAGAAGATATGCTCCAAAACTTGCGACACCACAACCAACATCAAGAACTGTTCGAATTCTTCCTTCATTATTTAAATTGTTGTGCGAAAAGTTGAGCATCTGCCAATTCAAAATCATAGAGACATCATTGCTTCTTCCATAGGTTTGAGAAGTTAAAATAAGGGCCATTATATTTGAAGAATCCATTCCGATCAGTAAAAGAACGAACCAAAACATGATGCAGAAAACTCAGATAGACACAAACATAAGACCATTCATTAGTAGGCGTTCAAGGTTATTGATCATGTTTCAAAATATTTTCTTTTGAGCCAAAATTAGTAGGTATTGGTGATCTTACATTTGCAATCGAAGCAATATACTTGTCAGCTCCATAGTGAAAATGAGTGCCACCCCCTGGAAATACTATCTTTTCACCTTTTACAACCATCCAGTTCTGGTCAGACTTCTCGTGTGCAAGGTGAGTATGGGGAATATTTGCCTTCCATACTTCATCTCTGCTTTGAGGCCACTTAATTGGGATCTGTAATTTCACATGAATTAAAAGACCGCCAATATATATAAATATGATATGACCATCACTATAACAAATATACCGCAACAAAAATCTGATTGCTCACTTATGGGAAGCACTACCTTGTATCCTAGAGGAGGAGGAATCAAGCAATTGTATCTCCTTTCAGGAGGGGGGCAGTGACGTTCATAGTGCTCCATCACAGACAAGTCCAGCTTTAATCTCATTTGGTATATGAAATTCCTGTCTAAGCAGGGAATTAATTCTGAATGGCGATCGTCACAAACCTTCAAAGTCAAAAGCAGAGAAATTAAATGCCATGGCAACTAACCAAGGGAAGAAGCAAAGGGGATTACAAGTCGAAAGGTAAGGTACTAAGTATAGAATTAACATGAAAGGAAAAAGATGGGGTACCCGAGGGGTGGGAATGAGGAAGGTGTCTAAAAATGGTTCACCAGTAAAAAACTTACAGGGAAAGTTTTTGGTACTACGTCTTCTTCTCCTTCCTCCTGTCCAAATTTTGTTGAAGATTCATATTGCTTGCCATCAGCATCATCATCTCCACCCAAATAAGATGATCCAAGTTTTCTCAAAGATCTGCTGCCATATTCTAGTGCTGCAGTACCGCGACTTGAAGACCCAAAAATAGATCCATAATATACATAGAGAAAACCAAGAAAGATTGCCACAACACAGAGAGTGGTGATTAAACGTTTCTTTTGGCCTCCATCAGATCTTCCCCTCATCCTTCTTTAGTGATACGATTCTTCACAAAATGTTTTCACTTGAGCACTAAATTGTCACAACACAGATCTCCTTATCCTAATCTATCTCACGTCAAATTTTCTATTCAAAACAAATCTGTTTTGTTGCTACCATCAAGCTCTATTCACTAGAATGAATTACACAAATCACTTCAAAACTTGTCAGAAAGAAACACTGTAGATAACAGATCAAACCTGCAAACGTACAAGTAAAAAACCATCAGGTAAAATTCTCTTCAGCATACGAGTCAAGCACACAAGTTTCCGAAGTTATTTCTTCTATGACCCTTTTAGAATTAAGTTTTGAAATTCAAGTCTAAAAGATCATACTTACTATTAATTGAAATTATCAATTAATCAATAACATGTTGGAAGAGAATAACAGCAAAGCCAGCCAACAATGAACAAAGCAAGCTTAATTAGAACATTGACACTAGAAAATTAAAAATACTAACAATAATAGTAAGTGAATCCACTGATTAAATCACTGAGAAGCCTAAAAAGTCTCAACCTACTAGCTTGAAATCTGACAAGCTCAAAATGGTAAATACAATAATATAAACGAAACGCCCAACAACTTTTACTAAGATTTTTTTAAAAAACCCCTCTTTAACACTAATAAAGATGCCTAATTATTCTGGTGAATTAGCACCAATCCATTACCGTTGGCTCAAAACATGGTGCTGCAGAAGGTTCAACAATAAAGTTCCAAATACAAGCTTTAAACTTGTGTAACAATTCAGATCCATGTTAACATTCAAGCATATAAAAACTTATTTGCATAATTAAAAAGAAAGAATCAGGAAAAAACAAAAGAAACAACAATGCTAAATGATGCTAACTGCCTACAGTTGTAACCAGTTGATTGACGAACAAGCAACGAGAAGGATTGATCCATGAAAAAGCAGTCAAAGGCATGCAACCAATTCTCCTTTTCCCTGAATTAAAACAATGGGCATCACGAAAACGGCAGCTACTTAGTAACTCTAATTAACAAAATCAACAGATCTGAGTCAAAAACTTAACCAAATCTAATATTTTCAATTAAGAAGAAAAAAATCATCAAAACTAACCAAATTCAACGATCAAGAATCAAACTTTGATCCAAAGGAAAGCAAAATGCTAACATTCTTGAAGTAAAGATAGCAAATTGACATTGACCCATTAAAACTACAATAAAAACAAGCAAAACCCATAAATCAGATCCCCACAAAAGAAAAGAAACCAAAATTTCAATGAAAACTCATAAAAGTAATAACAAAAGCAAGCTTAAAAGTAACAAAAAGCTTACTGGGTTTCAATCAAAAACACGAAATGGGTAAGTCTAACTGAGATCTAAAAAAATGATGCTTTGGGTTTTCCCCTATGAAGAACCAAAAGAAAGGTAGAAAGAGAGAAGGAATAGATCTCGAAGAATCTGCTTTACCAATTGGTTTTTCTTTTTGGGCTTACTATTTTTAGAGAGAACCGGGGGCGGGGCGGGGGGGATTGAAGAGGCACTGTATGTACTGGGAGAGAGACAGAGAGCGGTAGGTTCCAAAGCTGGCTGTTAAAGAATCTTAGTGGAGATCTATCTGGCCAAGATTAGATTTGCACATGATGCAAAAGTGTAGTCTTTTTTTTTTTTTTTCTTTCAGGAATTTGGTTCACGTTAGTGTCGTGTTTGGGCATCGTAAAAATCATTTTAATAGAATCATAATTACTAATATTTAACATTTACAAGAGAAAGGAAATTAAGAAAATAATTATACCAAAGGAAAAGGATTTATATTTAGCTTTTTGAGCATTTTTTTTCTATAAGTAAAATTATAATGTGAATTTGGATTTTGGATTGGAATGATTTTTTTTCTATAAATTAGCAAAAGAATTAACCTAACAAGTTTTTTATGATTTTTAAATATCTTTAAATTTCAAATTTGAATTTTGTTGATGATTTCAAAATGGAGTTTTTGGATTAATATTTTTATTTGTATTTTGTTAATTGACTCAATTACAATAGTGAAATCAATTTATGACTTTTTAAATTTATTTCAATATTTATGGTGAAGGCAATGATGATTAATGTTTTAGACCATAATTTTAAAAAGAAAAAGTAAAAAATTTTCCAAATAATTAATGAATTAAAAATTATTAATGGTGAAGAAAAAAAATATGTAATTGTAAACAACCCAAAATAGCCAATTAAAAGTAATAATTAGTTATCCAACTACAACTTCATTGGGTATCCGTTTGGATTTAATCATATTTTTAGTGCAATATAATTAAATTTATTATATCATTAATTAAATTTAAATATTAATTTTAATAAAATTTATTTAGTATAAAATGTTAATTAAAATTTTTTTAATTGTAATTATAATAATTTTTTAATCATAACTATAATAATTTTTATTATTTTTTAATTTTATCACAATTAATCTAACCGTCCAATCAAATGGAGCTTAATTTTCTCAAATTACTACTAATTTTTGAATGTTGGTTTTAAGTGATGAATTCTTCATTTCTTTAAAGTTTCTGTGGAAAGAAAATTCAAAACTTTTTGTTTATTAAAGGAAGTAGAAATTAAAGTTGCTACTAAATAAATTAAATAAAATTATTCTAAAATTTTAGATTTGAATTAAACGCGTAAATTACATCACACCATATGTATTATGAAAAAAATACAATGTGACACTTAATCAAGTTTTTAATTATATGGTTCTTAGTCTCTCCATTCAAATTGAAAAAAATAAAAATAATGATAAAATCAAAATTATTATTAATAATATAAAAATGTATTCATCATCAAATCAAATAATTCCATCAAATTAAAAAAATATATGAAATTTTTTAATAATTATTAAAATGTTATATTTTTAAATTAAAAATATTATTATTAATAATTTAATTTTTTAACCCAATTAAAATTAAGAATTGATGTCCAAAATCTGATTCATTGACACGTGTAGCTAGATCTTAATATAAGATGTCGGTGATGAGTTGCTGAATTTACAAGCCTAGCATTCCCACCATAAGTCATCATCACAAAAATTTTGCTCAAAGTCACATCCCATTATTATATGTTACTATAAATTGGCCCCCACCAAAGAAAAAAGCATGCAGAAGTCAATTAAATCAGCTACTGCAAATGCAAGTTGTTTTGCAGCACTAGTTTTTAATCACAATCACAGCCTCCTGCATGTGAAAGAACAGTGTTCCCATTCTCCTTCAATGCTTTTGCTTTGCTGACTTGGCTGCCATTTGCCATTTTTTCGAAACCACCCAAGCAAATGCCAATTATAAAAGTTGGGAAATCCACAAAAAATGTTTTCAATTGGTAACATCAATTAAGTGCATAGTCTTTGTATAACAAATGCATATCTAACCTTTATTTCATTTTTCATTTCATTTAGTATGATTTCAGATGCCTGTGTAATGTGCACAGCTATCCCTACCATTTGATGGTAGCTGCAAATCTTTTAAGAACCTTCATTAATGGAACCCTTGACTATCTGTTGATTACATTTTCTTAGTAATTAATTCACATTAATTATTTCATTTCTATTTGAACTCCATAATCCCACTTTATTGTTCTTGGTTTCCTTCATTAATAGAAACAAAATTATTAGAATTTGAGATATAATCTTTTGAGAAATTATTTTGAGTTTTAAATATCACTTAAAATAATTACATAAAAAAAACTAAAGCTTTATAAAAGTTATTCCTTGGATCATATGTACAAACTCTTTTTTATTTTCCTTGTATAGAATTTATTTAATAAGTTAATGAGGTGTTGACTCAATAATAAGTAATTTGATCTCAATTAGATTTTACTTATCGAAAATAAAAGTTCGAAATTTGGAAAAGACTCTCACTGGAGGGAAAATAATTTAGATAATCACTGTTCTTAGATCACTGATGCTCCACTTCCCAAAATGGTGACACCATTTCCTTCTTACCAAAAATATTACTCAATAGATGCAAATTCCATATATTTTAAACTATCATAGTTCAGTTTTAAATGAGCTGTTACAGTCTACAATTTGAGGGCCACAGTGCACAAATGAAAATATAATTTGTTCTTCATGGCCAAGTTTGGCCCAAATTCAAAGACTTGTACAAAATTTGGGGCTTTTGTTTTGTTTTATGGGCTTTCAAGCCCAGAATGTTAAAGAGTTTAACAAAGCTAGCATAGAGTACTTTTTAGGGATGACAACAAAAATCGGAGCGGGTTTTTGTTTGTCTCGAATCTGATCCAATTTTAAACATGTAAAATTAGAATCTTACCCAATTCGATAATTTTTTATTATTTTTATATTCGAACCTAACTTGATATTGTATAAAATCATATCCAATCAGACTCGAAATTAATAAAATATTATTTTTAATATAAATATAAAATTAAATATATATAAAAATATATATAAATAATTATAAAATTAAATAAATAATTAAAAAATTATTTATATATCGGGTCGGATAGGATCGGGTTTACCTAAAACCCGACCCCAACCCTACTCCGATTTTTTTTCATGCCATCAGATCCAACCCGATCCAATATCCGATTTTCAAAAAAAAAAAAAACTAACCCTAAAAAGTTGGATTGGGTTGGAACCATCGATTTTGGGTTTTTTTACCTTCTCTAGAACTTTTTGATTCAATGCTGTCATAATTTTAATCACTAAAAATAAATAAATAAATAAGATTCCTAACCTAGCTGAAATTTAATTGTTGAATTTTTTTTATACAATTATACTTTCATTATTTTGATTTTTATTATTAAAATTAAAAATGTAATATTTTATCAATAAATAATGTGATTGATATTGTTGATTTAATTGCTGAAGTTAAACTCAAGTGACTAACAACATTAATTTTACATGATAGAAAACATATACTTTAACATATCAAACAAATAATTATTATCAAATGCAAAGCAACTAATAATCCTTTGAAGTAGAGATGACGTAAAAAGAGATAAGAGGAAAAAAAAATTCATAATCCCAAAAAGATTTTTTTTTTTTAAGCTTAAACCTTGTTTCAAAAAATATATATTTAAGTTTTAAAATTTTATTGATAAAATATTAAACTATTAATATTAATAATTTAAATTTAAATTCTAACTATCTAAAATAAACAAAATCTTGTTGTTACCACGGGGGTATAAAATTCTCATTTATCTAATCAAGAAAAAAAATTAAAATTTAATTTAATTTAATTATTTTGAGATAATCTACGTGGATTGGAAATAAATCTGTTCAAGAATTAAGATATTCGATCAAATCAAAAAATTTATTTAAATTTTAAGAGAGTTTAGATAAAAATAAAAATAATTAAATAAATTTAAATATAAATTTTAAATTTGTTTAAATTTTAAATTGAATTTTAACTAAAAAATTTAAAATTTAAGCTCAATTTAACTCATCCTAAATTTATATATATTTATATATATATATGAATTATTTATTTATATATATATTTAAATGATATATAAATTAAAAAAATTATGTTTATATAATTTTAATTATATATATTAAATATAATCTTATTAAATTAAATTAAATTAAATTATTAATTTTTTATTATATAAATTAAATTTAATAAACAAATTTAAATTTTATTCGGTTAATTTAAATCAAATTTAAAAAATTATAAAACTTAAAATTTTAAGACGCACTAAATTTAAATAAATATATAAATTATTAATATCAATCATAATCTCCACCTAAATCCTGTAAATGAAAACATGCTGCTAATTAAAAACCAGGGACTGTTTCAAAAAGAGTGACAAAATTGCTGACAGAGAGACATGACAAAGCGTTTGACAAAACTTTTATGTTACTCATTGGTCCCACATCATAAAGAGGGAAAATGCATCAAGGGTCACCATTCATCCACCTGGTAGAATCAGAGGAGATCATGCTATTAACTGGATGAAAAAGGAGTAAAGCAAGGGGACATGATGACAAGAGAGAACGTGGGAGGGCTGAGGAGAGGGGCCAGAAAGCTGTAGACGATAGGGTATAGATGTAATCACAGTGACGGTCAGAGTTGTTTGTCAACTGGAAGTGACTGAAGGGAATGCACAATTCTCGTACCCTAGTCATTTTTGGGTTTTCCTTTTCTTGTTTCTAAGATTCTTTACTATTTCTCAAAGATGTTTACTTTTAAACTGACAATGTTACTAACTCTCCTCTTCAGTCTTAAAGCTCATTTTAACAGGGAAGGAAAGAGGATATACAGCAGCAGCAGAAGTGAAAGAAAAAATGAAACCCAGGTTATTGAAAAAGAGAATT